TTTATCTTATCAATTGGTGTAAAAAAATTGATTTTCAGGACTCCTAATAGATCATTGGAAACTACAATGAAAATAAGACCTAAAAAATAGTATTGAATATCTATTTTTTAGGTCTTATTTTCATACAGAGTTATTGATTGAAACCATGGAACATTATATATATGTGCGTGTAAAATTACTCAAACCAAACTCTGAACAAAGAAGTGACGAGTAACATTACATGAAGCTGAAGAAAAGGCTCAACTTACATTATCATTCTCCTCTTTACATATGTATATATAATGTTCAGAATTGTGTTTATAATGTTCCTTATAGACCATTGGAAACTACAATGAAAATAATCATATATTGTTTGTAGGTTATGACTCAAACGTAAGGAACCTCAATGTGTTTTTGTACGAGAATAATCCTGTTTCTTTTGGATCTTTGAAATTAAACCAATTAGCCAAAAGATCATATCATATTGCTTGTATGTATGGGAGCAAATGCAATGGGGCATTCACATATCACATAGTTGAAGCACGGAAAAGACTAGTCCAAACAATATGCCCGTTACAAGTAAAAACATCTAAAACAACTTATTAATGCAATACACATAAACCAACAGATCTACAACTACAACAGCTATTCACACCACCAAAATTATTAACGATTCAGAATTATTGGTTGAAACCAAAAAGAAGTGACGAGCAACATTACATGAAGCTCAAGAAAAGGCTCAACTTACATTATCACTCTTCCATTCATTTTGCCTGTTCAGCAAGGTTTTTCTTGTAGGCACATGCCACAAACATATCCTTGTCTGCATAAAGGTGATTCTCTTTACATACTTCTCTTTCTCACAAGCTTCCTCTGTCCTGCTCCCACTTACGTTGCTCTGCTTTCTTAATTTAAATATGAATATATTTTGGCTGCAACAATAACCAGCATTCTCGTACGTGATTAATCCTACATTATATTTGAGCAATTATTTGTATCAGTTTATGTCTTCTATATGGTATAAAGATTTATTTAAAAAACAGTCAAATAAATAAACGGAATCATTAAGATTATTACAATCAAATAATCTTATAAACTATAAGAAAATTTCAAATATGCTAGGTATTTTACCTTCCGCTCCTATCGATCTTGAATGCAGGGACGAACAGACTTCTCTTTCATCTCATCGTAAACTCTAACGTAATCAACCACCGAAAGATCTTCCTCTAACTCCTCTTATGTTGCCCCTCAATCTTTAAAGAGAAGAAAAAGATTTAAAATTCAGTCGAGTTATAGAAGCAATTCTAATGAAAAGAAGAAAAAAAAGGAAATCGAAGTGAGTCTTACATCCTTGAGAGATTTGTTCTTGCTTCCTTGTCGATAAATCTCTCTCCAAGTCGTCGTTGTCGTCGTCGAAGAAGCCGAGGGGAGAGGCGGCGGAGGTCTTGTCGCCGCCATTTTCTGCTGCAACGGTGGAACCCTAAGCTGTAGACCGTACTTCATGAATTTCTGAACTAAAGTTTGGTTCGCCGGGCAATTTTGGATCCAAATCCAAACGTTAGCCAAGCGTTTTTATTTTCGATCGATTAGCCGAGCGTTTATCTTAATCCATTTCTCTCGCAGTCATGTAATTTTAAAATTATTTTTGGTGTAATTTTATAATTGTCGGTCCAGCTCAGTTGATAATAGTGTAAGGCTCTTAACCACTTGATCATGGGATCAAGTCTCACGGTGGGCAATTCAGAATTCTAAGTGCTGGAGGTATCCCACGGAAGCTGTTTCCTACTATCATACCCCTCCTTACCCCATATTACATACGAGAATAGGTCGGCTAATTTATAATGGTAAAATTTGGTTATCAATAAAGCAAGTTAAGGACTTAATTGTTTTTTTTGGTTTAAAATTACCTATTTGACAAAATAATTGAATGGCCTAATGTATAATTATGAGTGATCAATTGTACACAATAACGTAGATCATAAAAAAATTAAAACCCCTGAAGAATAAGGGTTTAATCATTTAAATGTTAATTACATGAAGGATTAGCATTTTAAGATAATTGAATAAATGTTAATACAATTCATCAAGTGACATCAGTGATAAAATAGAGCATCGATCTTCCTAAAAAACTTAGATTTAAATACTAATAAAAAAATTTAAACATATATTATCATGTAATCACTCCAAGTTATTCAATAAATAAATAAATAAATGTTAATACATTTTTTAAATTTATTCAGACAAGGGTCTAATATTTTTTAAACTATTTTCAATCATTTAATTTTAGTATCCTCATGTCTTAAAATGAATTATATGGTATCATCAAATTTAATCTAGTTAACTATTATTTGAATCGCTTTAATAAATTCAAACACGTTATGATCTTTCATCGTTTTAAAATGTTAATTCTTGTTTGGACATATTTAAAATTATCAAAGTCTTGTTCAGTTGTATTAAAAAAATAAATATATATAAATAATTACAATATCGTATTAGACGATTATATCCCTAAAATTATCAAAATACAAAAATTAATTATTAAAAATATCATACAAATAAAAGAATAAAACCCCAACCAAAAACGAGAAAAATAAAAAATCGCAATGTGTATTTATTTTACATTTGACATTATATCCATATTTTTAAAGCGTAATGTATTATAATACTTAATATTTTAATTAATTTTATATCATATTTATCTTAAATAATTATATCATATACCAACTCAAAGAAAAACTGATTGTATCAATATCCAGTAATACAAGGAGAGAAACAAACTAAAAGAAGAGGGAAATGCAGATGTTTTTTCAGTTCCTTAACATTTTGGCCTTGTCTGTGTTAAAAAATGCAAGCAAAACGGTGCTCTTGCATTTGGGGCACTTGGGATCCACTTCCGATACCATAACATACATGAGGCACCGAGGACATCCCACTACCATCATCGACCTTCCTTCCGGACTATTCGGGTTTCGCATTGCCGAATTGCCGAAAGGCTCCGAAGTCACGCACGAGCTTCCCGGCGACATTTCCGACGCGTTAGGCGACACGATAACTTGAGACCCTGGATTTGGAGGTGATAACTTGAGCTTCAGTTCCACCTTTTGACTTCGACTCATTGTATATGTATGTATTTAACTCCTGCTTTGATGAAATGATCATACACAACAGTTGGAGAATTAATGGATGAAAAAGTCGGCTACGAAGCAAGAAATAAATACAAGAACAAGTTTCCAAGACCGAAGAACAAAGGTTTTGGGACGGCTTTTAGTTTAGAGCTTACGCCATTATATATGCAATGAATTTGGGAGAAAAGTACGATGGCTACATAAATCAATTAAAAACATGTGAATTATAAAATTCAACCATTTCTTAGTTAGGATTTCATGTGGCACGTCTTTATCCTAGTCCGAAAGCTGAAAAATCAACGTGCTCTAATGCACCTACAAAATTTGACCAGCTTCAAACATTCAAATCTTGCAATTAACTATAATTACTATAGATGGGTTTTTTGCTTCTAAATTTATTTATATAGCCCAAAACATTAGTGTATAATTTATTTTTTGTGTGCTTTGACTGCATTTTTTATTATAAAATAATTAATTGATTTGTTTGAGATAAGTAGCTATCCTGAATTAATATCTATCCATCCACGGGCTAACCAGTCTAACAATGTTTGTGTTTCAAAGTCTCCCCATTTGAATATAAAACCCACCTAAAACAAGCTTATATATATATCAAAATTCCATGTGAATGTATTAAATTTTAGCCAACAAAGTCACAAGCATTACCATCACGCATCAAGACAAATGAAACCCTTTCTAAGTTATCGCCAAAATTGACACCAATATCAATCCGGTCATCGTACTTGTTTTTTCAACTTCATTCCCTACAAATCATTAAAATGGTAAGTTTCTCATTGTCTAGTTAAAACAAGCAAACTCGACTCTCATGTTCGATTTTAAGAAAAACGATAATCACCGCACAAATGCACAGATCGCCAAGTTTGGTACACTAAGAGAGAAGTGTTCTTGCCTTGCATCACTTTCAGCCTAGAAAGAACCAAGAGCAGTAAGTTGTTTTACCAGGCCTACGTAGATAACCCTCGAATCATATTTCTCTTCCTAATCGTACTCCGGTGAAGTGCCTACAGAGAACTGAGAGATAATATGTTCTGTGCTAGCCTGTTGAAATTAAAACAGGGCACATACAGGAGTCTGAAATTTTGGCTTAAAGCCCTAAACAGAAGCAACAAAGGATGCAACTCAGATACATGGAGTTTTGTGTTCACACCCTGATGCATGCAGGACCATAAGAACACTCAATAGACAGAAGAGAACTCAAAAATACATTAAACATTGATGATACACACATTTTTATCCTCTAAATCATTAGTAAACCAGTTTATGAGAATGATTAGATTAGATGCATTTGTTCAGTTTTGTGTAATACATATTCAGTATCAAATTATCTATAATCAATACAGATTCACACAACATGCAATTGCAAATATACCAATTTTGGGAATGTTCAAGAAAATTTCCCATAGCATCATAAAGAATCACATTCATTCTCTGTTAGGTTTGGATTTCAAAGTTTGAAACTACTTCTTATGCAAATTCTCCTAACTCCCATTATGTAACTAACGATTGATAGGGAATACATTGTTATCTTCTACTAGCAAACAAGGAACACTCACTCTCAGCAATAAGAATTTTATCTGATGTGGACTGTTTAACCTTCCAAAGCATGCAAGCAATGGCTATTTAAGATTATATTCACATTAATCAAACTGAGAAAAGGAAAAAATAAAGAAAAAAATAAAAAGCACACGTCGCACCCTTACCCTTCGGCCTTGTCTTAGAAAATCTTCCTCTGTACAACCCTGTCATAGAAATTGAAAGGGGGGGGGGGTGGCAAAGAAGCGAACATTTTATAATTCAATGATAGTGAAACCTTGAGGGTTGTAATGATTTCAGTTAGTTTTTGGCTAAGAAAAGCAACAACTTATTATCATTTGACTATCAAGCCAACCATCTCACACCATTTATCTATAATCTATCTCATCATGGTTTTCTTCTATCTCAATCAGCTAAAGGGTGCTGATCATAATTCTAATACAAATTAATAACATCGCAAAGATTAGTTAGTGTCACAGCAGCTGAATCAAAGTGCCGCCACATTTTAATTAGAATGGATTTTATGATGGACAATCCATCTTGTGCAAAGCTTAACTACTTCCTTTTGAAAGAGGTGGATACGTAAAGAAGGGTTTTAAAAAAAAAGCCATATAACTTATAACAAATAGAAATTCAACTTGCACTTACAACTTCAACACACTCATATGTTATGAGACACCATAGCCTAGTCTTCCAATATTTGCTGCCTCTCGAGCTCAAAAACATGTTCAGTTAAACGGTTTATAGAGTCATTTGTCTTGTTATTTCCCTTGCACTACGATAGTTGCTGCTGAAGATTCCGCACAAGTTCTGTAAGTCTCTGAATGTTCTTCTCTTGTCTCTTGTGATAAGATGATCTGCAATTAGTGAAAATTCTCAATTAGAAGTTAACCACAAGTTAAATAGCTGGCAAAAGATGTGTGTCATACCAAAAACACACAACATTATGTTTTGCTTCTTTCCCTGTGGCATATAAAAAATGAAATAGCAGTGCTCCTTGAAGGATAATGGAAAGATGTGGGACTAGAACACCATAATTAATTTCCGAATGAAATTAAGACTATCCAACAAGAAGCAAGAACTTTGCCGTAGACAGAAACAGAACAAGCTCAATAGGCATAAGTTTCTCCGAAACACAAAAGCTCTCCACGAGAACTGTTTCAAGTTTTGAAGATAGAACCAGAGTACACTATTAGGTTAATCCTTAATGATAAAAGGTTTTCCTGAGGGAAAGATGCAAACATCAACAGGAGAGCAAGAACTACCAGCAAAATTTCCAATAACCTATTTATTGTAATAGCTGCAAAAGACCCTTAACTTGGAATGGAAGTAATCATCAAGGATATAATAGAACAAATGATCTAGAACATGATAAAAACAAGTTTTTCAGAGATGAAAAGTCAATGTCGTGTATACTGATAACTACAACATGTTTTAAACAAAATAATCTTGAATATAAAGATAAAACTCAAACAAAATACAAGTGGATATGTTGTAGAAAAGCAATTGCGAAATAAGGATAAAGCTGATAAGAAAACAAATACAGAAATAAAAGGTAGTACTGTACATATAATATACTAACAAATAAATGTGTGCATTCAAATGCAACTTCATTATTCAACTGTTTTCTTTGAACAACAGATAAAGCTCAGGATTTCACTAACAAATCGGAAAAAAAAAATGAAAGAACTTGTTACCTTTTCTTTCACAGCTTCTTCCCTCCTCGAAATGTGTAGCTGCTTTGAAGTAACGCTAGTGGTCATGTTAACGTCCAGCTTAGACAATTATTAATTTTTAACGAAAATACGAGTTTAGAACATAATGAATAATCAAATGGTCATTTTATAAATTTTAATAGTTGAGGGATTTAATAAAGCAACATTCTATAGTCAGAAAACTATTTTATAATTTTTAATAATGGAGAGACTTAATAAAATAATACCTTGTAATCGGAGATCATTTATATATTTTATCTTATAATTTAGTTCGAACTATTTTATTCATTTTAATACTTTAAAAATTATTTATTTTTAAATATAAAAAAAAAAACTTTGTGCTGTGCACATAACTAGGTTTCTATGGACCCACCATTACATGCTTTTATTAACTAATAAAAACATACAATAAGATGATCATCATTATTTCAGTACTTCCATGCACAATTGCACATTAATATACCGATCTACGGATAGATAGAACTGTCTGTTGTAAGTGTAGGATTTAAAAAAAATTAGGGTAAACACAAATATATTAATAAAATAAAATTTTTATATCAATATAGTTATGATAAATTTTCAAGGTAGGCATGATAAAATTTTAAAGTGAACACATACATATATTAGGAGAAAAACTTAAATTTTAAAAAGAATATTTAGACTTTATAAAATTTGAGTGTGGACACGTTCCCGCCTTCACCTTATGTACAGGGGTGGACCTTCATGGTGCTCGGGATATCCCAAGTAAACTCTCAATAAGTGTCACCCCTAATACAAGTGTCACCCTTCAAAAGTGCCACAGCTGGGGCTCTTGCAACCCCTAAATTTTTGTCCTGGATCCGCCTCTGTATATGTACATCCGTCATTGTGTGTTGTTTGCAATCTGACTTGACCCGACAAAGTGGATTTGGTTATACTTATTTTAAGAAAAAAAGTAATTAGAAAATGTATCTCTGTACTCTAAAAAATGTGTCAAACATAAATATTTTTTAAAAAACAAAATTTCCATATAACATAGATTATATAAATGTGTCAAAGTAGCATGTATCTGGAGTTTTTAACAGGCTTGGAGCTCCTAAAAATGTAAGAACTAAAGCTAGCAAAGTGAGGATAACAAAAGTTGCATAAATGAGCCGGAGAGTGACAGTCGACCGCAAAAACAAAGATAGCAGCCATTTTGGCGAGTCAACGGACTTCGGAGAACTTAGTTTCTCGATTGAGATCTCCCCAATATGACGTTCCGACTCCGTCGATGCCTTGGCAGCTAGAAACTCGTCTGCTTTAGGCCTCCTCAATTTGATTCTCCGGTTTGCCGTGCCCTGGAAATGAGATACATGGAGATCATGCTCTTGCCTCTGCTGCTGACCTCTCCTGTGATAGGCATTGGAAGTGCTTGCAATCGTAGGCGAGACATCCGGTCTAGCCGACGATGGTGTTTCATCGAGCTTGATTATATCATCTTTCAGTATCTCGGCAAAGTAATCTTCTTCGGCGTCAGAATCCTGGAATTTTAAGCAAGAATGCAGGGTTTTTCGCCAATCATCAAAAGTACAGATTCAGTTCGACTACATGCATAATATGCGATACCGGGATAGGTTGTCATGTACAAACCTTCTGAGGTGTAGAAGATTCTGTCGGTCCGACCTCGTTGGATTGTTTTTGCTCGGATTCAGATGCAGACTCGAATTGCTCAATAGAATGAGAATCATAACTACTAGCACCCTTCTTCAAATAGGCTTTGTCCAGTTCGGAAGTGCCAGTCTGGTCGGTAGCACCATCAGAGGTAGCACGGTTGCTGTCATGCATAACCGGTGGAGTCCGAGGAGCTCGGTTTGATGTGTTATTCAGACGAAACTCACTATTCTTCCTAAGGCGGCAAACAACTAGTGAATCCTACAAATTCAGAAAGCAAATAATACGTGAATAATTCCAGTCCAAAACCCCAAATATCCTCCTACAAAAACAGCATAATAGCAATCAAAATAACCCCAGAGGCCAGAATTAACCGGACGAATCAGCCTACAACTACCCACCAGAAAAAGGAAAAAACAACAGGAAAACATATCAGAATCATTTAGCCAAATATTGAGCTCAAATTAGTGAGCATCATTTATTGATACAGCTAGACTTCAAACATGAACCTGCAATATATGTGTCGCCAATTCGAGCCAGGGAAACCGTTATGATCAGATTAATTACTTTTTCTTGTTAGTTAGTAGAGCACTCAACTAGTCTTATTGCACACAGTTTCTCTATAGTACTCGTATCCAACGTCTATGTCTAACAAATCCGGACATGGATACAGAGGTATGATCTTTCGAATATATGAAAAAAACAACTTAAATAAGTATCCCTAGATTAAGACCATTACAAGTCTAATAGTTATGCAGATAAATCACCTGGGGCATTCCGTCCATGCAGTATTCGTGCATGATCCATTCCGTTCTTTCTCCTCTTGGTGCACGACCGGTGTGGAACACTAGAGTCCTCTTTGTACCGATCACATTAGAACCCGACTTGACATTGCGCTCTTTCCCTGTGGCTTTCCAGTAACCCTGTTCAGTTGCACGTCTACTTTGGGAACCATTCGGGTACTTTCTCCCACGAGCGCAGAAGAAGAACCACTCGGTATCCGACTTTACGACAGATTTGTCTGGGAATCAGTGACAATGAATCAATAACACAACTCTACGTAAACAACGATCGGCGGCATCAAAAGGACAATCCAGATGCTAATAGCGAAATCACACAGATGTTAGTATCTTAGAAATCCAAATAAGTAATCCAATTGAAGACATTTTACCTAAAATCAAGTAATCCAGGCAAAAAGTAGAATAGGTCCTACACTTAACAGCTGCTACAAATCTCTACTTCCACTTGCAAATTAAGGTTCCATTCATCCTGCTACATCAATCTTATTTGGAATTAACATCCCCATCATCATCAACATACAAACTCCACCCCAGTTTAATTACAAAACAATTGAAAGAGACAAAGAACAGAACATATATACAGAGTTTAAGTTTGGAAAGTAAAGAAGAAGCAAACCTGGTAAGTCCCAAGGCTCATTTCTACAAATTTCAACCTCGGGAATGACCTCGACACACTTGTCAAATCCTTCCAGCTTCCTTTTCAAGTAATAAGAAATCAATTCGACATCAGTTGGGGAAAATCTAAAACCAGGAAACATTGAAGAAGCTTCAATAGACATCTGGGTTTCTCTTGAAACTCCTCCACTTGCCATCACCGCCCCAACTTCTCCTTCTTTCCCTTTGTTTTTCTTGTTTTGTTTTTATGTTAGACACATTAATAAAGTCTTCTTCTTCTTTTTACTATGCCTAGTAGCTCCTGTTTGGTACAGTGGGATCTTTTTTCTTTGGCTTTTGGGGTCTCGTTTTTTCCCTTTTGCTTTTTTGGTTTTGGTTAACTTTCGGTTCGGGGGAAATGAAAGGTAAGTTCTGCTCTGCGCTGCTCTTTGCCTTTTGGGTTTTGGGGTTTAAGAAGATGTCTGATTGTGTATCGATAACTTTGGGATGAAGTGATTGACAGTTGGTACGGACCGCGGTCGACACATGGCGTCCTACGTGGTTTTGACTTTCTCTCTTTACACTCATGCAAAACTAAATTATTTATCGATATATAACACGAACTTATTTTAGTGGTTAAATGAATTATTATTAATTAATTTTAAAGGTTATTGGTTCGAGTATCAACGATTGTAATAAGATGCTTAAATGTTTATTATCAAATAGTTGAAAGTATTTAGAATTCATATTATTTTATAATCATCTTAACTTAATAAAAAAATAATTGTAAATAAAATAAAAATATTATTTACTCGTAATAAAATTGTATAAATAGTGTTATGTTTTGAGAACTTAAGATAATAGCAAATAAAGCACACGTTTGGGCCCAATTGCTGATCAGATTAGGCAACCGAAGAAATAATCCAGTGTTGTTGGACGTAGATTCTTTTTATTACTTGCCTTGTCACACAAACCTTAACAACTAAGTAGTAACTTTATTTAAATGGGTTATCTGCCACAACTTAAAAACATTCTTCAACACTTAAATTTATAAAACTACACTTTTAGTCACTTTAATTTCATTTTTTCCTATTTTAATCACTTAGCTTTTGAAAGTTATATAAAATTGTCAGAGTTTAGGCAATAAGCAGCGCCGAATATCAGCTTAATGATGGAAATATGTCCAGCAAATATTCTGAGCCTAATGATTCAAAACAAGACCTCGAAAAACACCACCTTTGCGGCCGACCTGGAGAAAAACGACAACGTTGAGCTATTACACGGCCCATGTGAGTGGTTGGATTTGTTGTCAAATATATGGTCCGAGACATTCAATCTACGCAATTTGACGGGGATAAACTCACATGGATGATGCTGACTTACTACGTATGCATATATAACGCCAAGTAACATGTTGAAAATTATGCACAAATAATACTACAGTACTTTTTTTTTAAATTAATCACTAGTATTCAATCTATTAACCGACTAATCCAGATCGAGTACTGCAGAGATGAGGGCGACCCTCCCAACCCAATTTACTCCATTCGCAAACTTTTTTTAAAACATCGTTGGAGATTTATATACTGATTAGTCTTAATCCTGTCTCAAATATCAATTAATTTTATCTAAATAGATCCACATAAATTATTGATCGTTACGTAATTGATATATGGTTTGGTCACACAAGTGAGCCATTGCTGCCAGGGTCTTGTGAATGCATGGACTAACTCCATTACCAGATCTAATTCGAAAAATTTTAGATGAATTAAATGATCAACTTCTATGTGAGCATGATTGAGTTTAACACGAAGGATAGATATAAGTGACATGCCAATGAATGCAACTAACTATAATAAATAGGTTCTTTAGTGACCATTTAATTGTGGCATTGAAGAATTTCGTCACAAAAAACAAATTATTTGCAATGAAAATTATTTTTGACATTTTTAAAATAAACAATTGTGACTTATTTTTATTTGGTGATTTTTATATAATAATTGTGATAATTTTAAAGTATGTCACAAGTAATTGGTCATTAATAATGTTTTATTGTGACCAAAAACAAATTATCATTATCAATTAGTCACTAATAATGTGCTAGAATTGGCGCCAATTTATTTTTCACGAGAAAATTATAATAGTGACAATATATTAAGTAGTCACTATTATTAGTCATAATTGTGACGAAAACATTTTGTCACTAGTCTTAATTGGTGATATGTGACAACAATTGTTTTTGTCACTATTGAAGTGAATAATTGTGTCATATTTCTATTTGGTCACTATAAATTTTGATGATATCATTTAATCTTCTATTATGATTATTTTTTTAAAAAAATTGACTAGTTTTTATATATAATTTACGATCTTTATTGAGATATATGTAAATTTTACAAACATCAGTTAATTATTAATATCAATGTTATTAAAATCGGATCGGACCGGCCGGTTCGACCGGTTGAACCGTGAAACGGTGGCCTGTCCGGTCCGGTTGACTCCCAAAATCGGATGAGCACAGAACCGGTAAAGAACCGGCTGAAAACTGGTAAAACCGGGGTGAATCGGCTGAAAACCGGCAAAACCGGTTTAAATCGCCGGTTCACTTTTTTTCTTTAAAAAAAATTAAACCAAATGATGTCGTTTGTTAAACGAGCCGAGTCAAATTCGAGTATTGTTGAGCTCGACTCGAACTCGAAAACTTTAAAAATAAGCTTAACTCGACTCAAAAACTCACAAGCTAAAATTTATCAAGTTCAACTCGAACTCGAAATATAATATTAAAACTCGAGATCAAAAGGGCTCGAACTCAAAAAAAAATTAAAAGTTCGATTGAAGCCTAAAATTTGAGCTCAATTGAAGCGAAAGAATAGTTCGCTTTGTGCTCACCAAAAGACTCTATGATTTTGAATGTCAAATAACCTCTATTATTTATAGAAGTAAGTTGGGATGTTCTTCTATGTTTCTAAGCCACGTGAGATTGTTTTTTAAAAACAATTAAACTAAATGACATCATTTGTTATGATTTTTTAAGCCCCAATTTTATTTTTTTGATTATAATTATATTTATTATTTAATATGTTTTACCTTAAATATTATGTTGTAGTTGATTTGAATCATTTTGTTTCACTTGATTTTATGGTTTTTAATTTATATATGTTATGACTTGTGATATTTTTATACCTTTTAATATTGTAAACTTAAAAAAAATATTACATATATATTAATATTGCTTTGAATATTATATAAAATTAAAAAATATATTATTTTATATAAAATCCGGTTGAACCGCAATTGAACCCGGTTAAACCAGTGAACCAGTACATTCACCGGTTCGATGTCCGGTCCGATTTTAAAAACATTGATTAATACTTTGTTTTTTTTAGTTTAGGACATCCACCCCAATAGGTTAATACCTGTCAAATATTTTTATTTTATTTTATTTTATTAAAAATAATTTAAGGACACTTGTATTATTTTAGGTTTAACTCTTAATATTTATATGTTTATATTTTAAAACCAACCTAATTATTCTTTATATTTTTCTTTCACAAACATATTTTATATGAAAAATTATAGAAATTTTAATTAAATTATTATGATACAACAACAACAACAAAACCCAATTCCCATATGCAATTGGGTAAGGGGGAGGTAGGGTAGTAGGCTGCCCCCAACGCCAGGTTGAGAGTAGCTTCCGTGGAAGACCTCCGGTAGTCAGAAAATTAAAAATATAGATAAAATGCAATGCATGTATAAATAAATACATAAATACATAGTTGAAAAATATTCATATGCAGTCATTAATATCATTAATATCATATGCGCGTTTGTAATGGGCAGCAATCCCTGCAAATAAACCCCTGCGAAAAAATCTTTGCATATAGACAGAAACGTAAGACCCGACTAAATTTAAAAGTGAAGAGAATGTTACACAGAAGTCAACGATAGCAAGCCCAGTTCTAAGCCTTTATAAATACCAATAACAGAAACATATAAAAAGTAAAAAGTCATGAAAATTACTACAAAGGCATTAAAAGAAGACAGAGATGATACACCCTAGAGATGTGACCCACACTACTCGACTACCCTAGTCTTAAGTCTCCATACTTTCCTATCAGATGTCATGTCCTCGGTATAGTGGTTAGGCATTGCACTCTTAACTAAAGTGTTTCAGGTTCGATCAACTTAAAAGTCATATATTATATTAATTTAGTAAAGAATAACATGTGGAATCAACAACTAATTGATCTAGCGGAATGAGACACTAGATCCTTTAATCAAAATTAGATTGGGAGGATCACTCTGCCTATGTTAGTACCTGATCAAAAAAGCTGGATACAACTAAAATTGTAACGTTTCTACTATAATTGATTTAATAATGAATATTTAATTAATCAATTTAATTATATAGTTGTGATAAAATATTTGTCACTAATAAAGATAATATTTGTGTCTAAATTTTTTGTCACTGTTACTAATCTTTTTGTGTCAAAAATGTAGTCACAAAAAACATAAATAATTGTGACAAAAATCAATAAAGTCGTCACTAATATCATAGTAACAACTCAAAAATTTTATCATTATTATATTCAGTGACTAAATTTGATATTTTTAGTAACTATTATAAGTGTCGCTGAAAACACAATTTTTTATATGCTTACTTTAAAAAATATTTTTGGATCAAAGATGATGATAAAGAACCTCGTTTCCTAGTCTTACGCACCTTCTTACCTTTGCCCTCTCCCATTTTTTTTTTGGCTGCCATTACATTGTAAGTTTTATACATAAAATTAAAGAAAATTTTTAAGACACTTCTTAAGAGGAGCCTAATAAGTTGAGATAATATTTTACATAACAAAGAGAACATTTGTTTCAAACAAAGAGAGGGGAAAATGAAAACAGAAGATATAATTTAAAAAGAAAATTACAAAGAATAACTAGAACTTAAAGTAATCCTCAGTCCTTCCTTTGAACCCAATTTGTCCAAAAGTAAGCGTGATGAACAACCCCAAGTGCCATAATACCAACCACAACCTGCTCATTTTATCAAAAACAAAATTCAATAAGTTTGAAGATCCATATGTTTGATAAATTAATAATTAATGTTATATAAATGTATTCATTTTTAGGGTAAACTAAGCACATAGTACTTAAACTATCAGTTTTAATCCGTTTTAGTATCTAAACTTTCAATTGTTTTTCAAAATCATACCTAACATTTAGTTTTCATTTCATATTAGTACCTGTTGTTAAAAAAATAACGCGATTAGAACCTAAACTATCAGTTTTGATTCGTTTTAGTACCTAAAGTTTCAATTTTTTTCAAAATTTAACGTTAAATTTTTAACGATGTACTAAACTGAAACAAAAGCTAACATTTTTTATGACGGGGTACTAAAATAAAACAAAAAACTAAACTTTAAGTATAGTTTTGAAAATTTAAAAGTTTAGGTACCAAAACAAATTAAATTAATAATTTATATACTAAACACATAATTTACCCTTATTTTCATTTTAAAAAAATGGCAATTACTTACCAAAACTGAGAAGTAAGAGCGGGAGGTGTGGGGAAGTGAGCGAGCTCAGTTCCGATGCTTTCAAAGAAAAGGCCAGTCAAGCTCTTCCCATCGATCGCCGGTATGCTCGACGGAGCTAGCCAGCCAATCAGCCCAAATCCTATGACGTTCAGGTCCCTACGTAGCCAGTCTCTCTCAAAGCTTCCCACAAATTAACACATATATTAATCACACTGTTCACCACTAATAAAATCATTCATCGATCCAAACTCAACTTACCAAGTAAACCTGCCTCCTGAAGCACCGGCTAGCCTCAAAGGGTTCATAGCAGTAACCCCCGATTTCAAAAATCCTAATATCATACATATTATTAAGCAAGTGAAAGAAAAAAACATTGTGCGTTTTAAAACCAACGAGAAGGTGGGTACGTACCTGAAGAGAGGGGAGTTCTCTTTGGCGGGGATGACAGCGAGGCGGCGGTGCCGCCTAGGCCGACGACGGTTGATGGGCTTGCAAATGTGGCTGTCATTTTTGGCGTATGGTTGATGGCCGGTCACAGATTTTGTAGCTTGTGTGCTTCAAATGAGAGGCGCAGTTTTTCTTTTATGGAATACCCAAGATTGGGTGGATGAGTTCTCGCTCAATCGTTTTGTGACACGTGGGAATTCAGTGGATAAATTGGGTCCTACCTTTGCTTTGTTGGCTGATAATACTACCAGTAAATGGATTCCGCTATGGTATTCCTATAATCCTATCATTTTCCTTTCTGCAAATAGTGTATTTATTAGATTTGAAAATTTGACATATAATTGAAACCTTAATTATTTGAATTCAACGATTAAATTGTTTTTAACAAATTAATAAATTTAGGTTTCAAATAGTTATATCTTAAATGAAAATAATTATACGTCCTAGTTCAAATGAAAATAAATTTTACCAGGAATTAATATATAAATATTTTATGGAATATTTATTTTTCACAAAAGGGTCGATCTGCGTTAGGGCTGAGCAAAGGATTTGAGAAAACAGAAAAATCAATCCAAACCGAAATATGTAGTTCGGTTCGTTTTTTTTTTTATTTATGGTTCAATTTCGGTTCGATTTAAGAGAATAAATATGTAATTCAGTTCTGTTTTAGTTTTTTTCATATGAAAAATCGTTTGAATTAAACCAAACCTAATTAAAAAAATAAAAGAAAACATATCCAAAATAAATTTTTTAGTTTGAATTTATTACAAGACAAATTTAAATAAATAAAATCTTAAAACTAGTAATATTTTTTTATAAATTTAAATTTATAAATTTACACTCGATTTAAGCTTGAAATTTACTTTTTTTAGGTCGAGTTTAAAAAGTAGTGAACAATCAAAAACCGTTGAATCGAACTGACCTAATCTGAACCGAACCAAAAACCGTGATTTTTATGTCATTCAGTTTAAACCCGCAAATCGCAATGTACGGTTTGGTTCAAATTTTAATGAAGAATCGAACCGAATCGAATACACCCTAACCGTAAATTAATTAAAATTTGTTTATTTTCGTGAATTTTTTTATTAGTATTTTAACAATTTAACTGTTACACTTGCTCAATATTATTATACTCATTATAAATGAAAATTTTAAAATCATTATCATATCTCTATTATTTTATATATTAATGTGTATGATATTATACATCATCACCGAATCAAAATCAAATGATAACAATATTATTAAAAATTTATATAAATACTTTTAATTTTAAAAAATCGTTAACTTTGCTGGGAATTTCTTTACTTTTAAAAACTGCTCTATCTTTTAATTTTTTACACTACGAATATATAGCAGTCTCGTGCTAAGAATTTTTTTAAAGAGTATATAGTGTTGTTATAACCGTATTTTTGTATAAAACCCTAACATGGGAGGTGCTATATATTCTCGGCGTAAAGAATTAAAAGATAGAACAATTTTTAAGAGTAAAGAAATTCCTAACAAAGTTAACAAAATTTATAAAGATATATAAATACCTAATTTACTGGTGACATATACAATGTTTATATTATTATTTTCTTTATTTATTTATTGATCGATGAACTAAAATTAAATATTATAAAGATTTATTATAAGAATAAATCAAATATTTATTTAAACATTTAAAATAATATTATTTTACCGTGTGATTATCATGCGGTTATTTACAGCTACAATGAGTAGATTATCCAAGTGCTTTAATTTTAAAGTAATGCATAAATTAATTCCCTCGTCATTTGGAGTAAATAATGGCTTGGTGCATTAGGAAATTCTTAATTTACCCCTTTTAACTTTAAAACTTTTCGAGCCGGTTAACAGTGAGGTGGATATTAATACATTATTCGTTATTTAAGAAAGTTAATTATTACAAACAAGAGGCACCCGCCATACGAAGCCTCCCTAGACAGCGATAAATACGACCCACGTCACATTATTTAAAGATCCCCATCATCTAATACAGAGATGATTGGATTAAAGGACAGCGATGACATCTTGCACACTGTTACAGTTGCCCGAGTAAGCCCGTGTGCAGTCTCGGATCCCTTTGGGCGTGGGATTTCCCTTATTATAACATAAGCGAACCTCTCCCAGGATTTTTTGGTTGGTGCCCTTCTTTGTGCGGCATGCGATCTCGGGTGTTCCTTTTACTGCCGCTTTTACTTTATCCGCAATCTCTTGTACCTTGTAACTCTGTCCGGATTGAAGTTTCAAAACTGGCTCAAAGAAAGCCATAATGAGCAAGATCCGTGGGAACCTTATCAAATATTAATTAGGCAATTGAATAAAAAAAATATTCTCAACATTCGATTAAATATCCACGTTGATTTTTATTCTTTTTATTTGGAGTATTTTCGCCTCTAACAATTTTATTTTGAGATAAAAAAGATTTTTTTTAATCAAACGGTCAAAAAAATAGATTTTTTTGTCTTAAAATGAAATGTTGAGGCCAATATGATCTAAAAGAAAAGAATAAGGGCTAAAATGACTATTTAGTCAAAAACTATTGCTTTTTATCTTAAAATAAAATATTATAACTAAAATGTGAAAAAATAAAGATCAAGATAACTATTTAATTAAACATCATAGACAATTTTAATATTACGTTTATTAATTAAGGCAATGTCATATGCACGATTGGTTTAGGGTGGGCACTAGAACTTGAATTTTCTTTGGTGAGTTATTCACTTTATTTGTATTATTCGCTTTAAATTTTTATTTGAGTTCGTTTTACATATTAATATTTTGGGTAAACTATGAGTTTAATATCTAAATTATCATTTTTGATATGTTTTAATACCTAAGCTTATATTTTTTTTCAAAATCATACCTAACGTTTAGTTTTTGTTTCATTTTAGTACCTTGTCGTTAAAAATTTAACGTGTTTAGTACCTAAAATATCATATTTGGTATGTTTTAGTATCTAAGCTTTCAATTATTTTTCCAAACTTAACATTAAGCTTTTAACAGGGCACTAAAATGAAGCTAAAACTAAATATTAAGTATGATTTTAATTTTTTTTTGAAAGTTTAGGTACTAGAACTGACCAAAACTGATAATTTAATAATAAACATGTAATTTACCCTAAAATTTTATATAATTAATATATATATATATATATATATATATATATATATATATATATATATATATATATATATATATACACACACACGTGTCTAACGTAAAAAATATCATATTTGGTATGTTTTAGTATCTAAACTATTAATTTTTTCCTAAACTTAACGTTAAGTTTTTAATAGGTACTAAAATGAAGCAAGAAACTAAACGTTAAGTATTATTTTGAAAAATTAAAAGTTTAGATACTAGTAGAACAAAACAAAACTGATAATTTAATAATAAACATGTAATTTACCCTAAAGTTTTATATAATTAATATGTATATACGTGTCTAACGTCAAAAATATTTTAAAAATTGTGTTGAATTAGGCAAGCTTTAATTAAAGTCACCTGAAACAAAATGATTCCTGAGATCAATGGCAGCTTTGAAGTAAACAGCAGGCTTGTCACCGTAATCAGAGCACATTCCGTGCTTTCCCCATTCATATTCCCAAAACTTCTGGTTTTCCTGAGCAGAGTTAGTGTTCTTTAGGGTTGGCCATACGTTGGTTAAGTCCCCCACCAAGTTCCCCTTCTGCAGTTCTACCTGATTCATTTCAAGCACACCAAAATCAACTAAACGAAGTCCAAAATCTTTCTCATAAATATAAAAATGGTGCTCATAATCACATACAATGAGTTTATTCGGAGGTACGGGTGTCAAAGTGGTGCATGACTTGTCCGTCCCGTACGCGGGCACTCCTTTGTTGTTGCTGTCCTGCGGCCACAAGCCATGGATGGTGAAATCGGCTGGGATATTTCCCTGACATAACATACCCGTAGCACAAGCGCCGGGCGGCCATTGGAGAGCGAATAAGTAGGAGGAGAATGTGGTGGCGTCCGTTAAACCAAGGAGGCGCCGGTTAACTACGCGTCGCTGCTGCTGGAGCTGGACGTTCATCGTGCTGTTCTCCGCCGTCGACGGTGGTTCCGTTGCGTGACAGGTGGTTTCGAGTAACAGACAAGCCATGAAAGCAACCACCATGACCATGTTACCACAATGCTTCTTCATCTTCCCTAAATTCATTACCACGAGACTATATGGATCTAATTTTCTTCTTGTTTATAAATTGGTTGCTTGCTTCTTCACTCCCCGGTGTGCCCATTTATGGAGTTTCCAAGTTGCAATGTATTTCGTTTGTCAACATTGGTTTAGATAGTTCGAGTTTGATCTTAATTGTTTGTCTGTATCGGGTTTAATGTGGGTATATATATATATACCAATATATGCATTAATAATAAAATAAATTGTTTTTAAGAGTTGTTAGAAATAATATAATTACTTCTCTTAAAATCTATCTTTTTCTTATTTAATTTTGGGATTATGACTCATTTTAAATTTATGAAATTAATTAATTCATATTAGTTATCGACATGGAATTATTAATTGAGATATTTTTAATATATATATATATATTATAAAATATTTTGGTTGTGACAAAATCTAATTATATATGTGAGACAATACATCTGCCATTTCTCTTAATGATTTTTGTTGGTTTGTTAGTCACATGAAAAGTGTGCATTTTATCCTAACCATAACCTATGGTGCATACACATTAGAGAGAGTACTACCTTGTTTATTTATTGTCGTAATTTGTCAGTTATTTCTGTCTTCCTGGGTTCATCATCCGACCCATTAGAGAGAGTATGTCCTGCCCGCAGCCCGCCTTGTGGCAGTGCATTGGCAGAGTCCAGATCATGGAGTGTTACGATATCCTAGTGATGAAGATAACATTTTTTTATGAATTGCAATGTGGGTCCAAAACAAATAAATTTAGAACCAAAAAGAGGCTAGAATCAAATTATAATTTAGACAATTATTTTTGAATATATTATATATTTAGTATCTATCTAAACTATCAGTTTTAGTATGTTTTAGTGTTTAAATTTTTATTTTTTTAAAATCATACATAACATTTAGTTTTCGTTTCATTTTAATACATTGTTATTAAAAACTAAACACATTTAGTACCTAAATTATCAGTTTTCTTCAATTTTAGTACCTAATCTATCAGTTTTAGTCCATTTTAGTACTTAAACTTTTAATTATTTCTAAAAATTAACGTTAAATTTTTAACGAAGTATTAAAGTGAAACAAAAATTTAATTTTAGGTATGATTTTGAGATAATTGAAAGTTTAATTACTAAAACATACTAAAACTGATATATTATGTACTAAAGCATAATTTACTCTTTATTTTTTTAATTAAATCTATATTTTAATATTTTTCCCATTTTACTGTGAAGAGAAACTTGATTTAACGGCGATTAACGGGTGTTCTTCAAGCGGAGAAAATAAGGATAACGCATTTTCCAGTTGTAAATACTTGCGGCAGGCGGCAGTGTAGATATTTATGCGTTTGCCACCAATTTGAAGAAATAACCAATGGACACTCTTTCAGCGTTTGCTTTCATCACCAACTGCAACAGTTCTCCATTTACAAGATTCACTTCCCATCTTCGTCCTCAAAGACCACCACTTTCCAGAAGAAATCAAACTGTCTTTGTCTTGAAAACAAGCTCTCCTTCGGGTAGAATCTTCACATATTACCTCACACTTTGTATTATCTCATTGGATTTTGATATTCATGGTTATTTGGGGTCGTATTTGCCATGGGTTTCTTTTCAAATTTATGTTTGTTTGACTTATCAAAAACAATAATGTTCTTCTTCTTCTTGGGTTATATAAATGATTGTTTGACAGGTAAATCATGGGTCTACCGTCTTTTACTTTATGATTAATTTTACTGTTAGTGGCTGCTAATTACATTAAATTGTACTAAATTCCGCATGCTGCAAATTCTCTATCATCTTATCTTTGAACCATTCATGTAAATAAGGGAAGATTCCCATCTTTGTCAGCTCAGAGGTTGATCAGGTTTTAGTGTTTTGAGTTGTATGACTATATTTATATGACTGCAAATTTCTGATGGTCATTTTTCATTTCTCTCATCTTTCGATAAATCTGTGGAAGAGAATGTTCTGGAGATTTTCTTCAAGGATAGAGAAGTAAATGGAGATTTTATTTCGAAAGTATCAGATATGCTATGGCAGAGGGAGGTTCTGAAAGTTGTTGATGCCAATGCCAGCGAACCTTCCGACGCTGCCGAGCAATCCGAGCAGGTGCAAATAGAGTATCTCTTTACTTTCTATCGCTGATATGATTCTAGTTTAACATATCCATATGCTGTATGCAATTATAGTGAATGCTCAATTTGCTTTTTTGGGAGGAGGAGAGGGGGATTTCTTTTCCTTTACTTGTATAGTCTCTCCATGTTTGTTTATTTTCAGACATTATTTTGTTGATGAAGCTGATTCAGTTCGCTTGTGCTATTGATCCAATATATAAGTAGGCCATGGGAAGTGATGATGATAGTGGGTTTTTGAAGCTGTCAACAACTCAAGAATGGTTATTAGGTGACAATTCTGCACCAAGTAATAAGAAAACCATTGCCAAGGTGTGCTTTCCTATGGCCACCCTCCCTCAATACCCCATCTCTGGTTATTGTTTTGCCCTATGCTATATATGTTGAGTAGCTCTGTGTTTGAATATATTAAGAAGCGCAGTCAAAAGGAACGTATAATGTTTATGAGACAAATGCTTGCCAAACCTAATCAAGCGTTGGCTCATAAACGGGTTAACCAGGTGGCTGCCCTTGGCTCTCTCATATAGGACAGAATCCAATGGATTAAAGGCCAATATGTTTGCTTGACTTGGCCAAATTTTAAGATTAAAACGATGAAATTTGCAGCATTTATCAACTTCGGGAAAAGTCTTGTCAGCCTTAAGAAATAGATCAGTCTTTTTTGTTACTAACCCATGTGTATGAACAGGTGTTGCGGGATGACAGTGAAAGAAGGAAGAAACTGAATCTTCTAAAATATGAAGCTGTAAGAGATTCATCAAATTTCTCAGTTAGTTGTAGGGTTTATTTTTCTATCTGAAGTTATTTCAGTAATGTATCGAGGACTGGAAAACTGGAGAGATGTTTTAGTTGCATATCGGGAATATTTCTTGTATCGGACAATTGTTAAATTGTTTTGAAAGGTACTAAACTGCTAATTGTTTGTCATTTGATCTTGCAGCTCAAGAGGGAATTGACACTTTTATCAGTTGGAATTGGAACGGCATGCAGTGGGTACTGTTTGGTCGTGTTATCACTTCAGGTAAAGTATTCACTAAAACCTGCAGTGCCTGTGGGTGGTGATGTGTAAATTTTAGTATATGTATATTTTTTCAGCACATTCTTGGTCAGTTGTGCCTTGTTTGAAATCCAGAAATGGATCCAGAATCTTGCTTAGATTCTTCACTCTTAAGCTTTGGCTATACTTCTTTTCCTTCTATGTTTAGGAGATATCTCTTCAAGATGGGAAAAAAGTAGAGATTTTTAGAAAATGTTACAGATATTATCATTTGCTTCCTTAGAACTGACTTTTAATATTACACAGGCTGCTGTTAGTTATGCAATTGGGGTTCTTTTCAGGTTAGTTGCTACCTTTCTAATTACTTTTTCTTTTCTCCTGTTGAATCAACTTTAATGAACTGAGAGTAGCAACCCTTTGTTTGTAGTGAATTTCTAGAACTAAAGAGGTAATCAGTCGAGTCTTAAGCCCCCATCTTTCCACATGTTTATACATATGATATATATGGAGTGAAAAAGTCCTGTTCTTATCTTATTCAGAGAAGAAAACATCAGTCATGGTTCATCCGGTGGAGTAACAGGAGGATGGTTTAATTCAAAGCACAGTGGCTTTTTTCCCCATTGAAATCATTAGGGGCCTAATAAAATTTTTATCCTCGAAAAATTATTTCTGCATGGGGTGGGTTTGACTTGGAAATCTGATTAGTATCTTAGTTGATGATATCTTTTAACTGGCCAACATTTTAACGAGCCCAACTTACGAACAAATGGTGCTCATATGCTAATTTCTTGAGGGAAGGATGAGGAGAGACCATTTTATTATTGTTTTTGCCACGCTTGTTAATCATCTTAGTACTGCATGCTTTAATCTTATTTATTTTCTGTGCAGTTGCTTATACCTCCAGCTCTTGTATCAACATTCGGACAATCTATCTCAGGAAATGGTTCCTCAGATTTTCAAGAAGAAGAAATTGAAAAAGTACCTCTACTAACTTCTTTCTTTTTTGAGACCACTCTTTGCATAGTAGTAGCAAGCGAGTCCTTGTTCTCTTTGATTGTATTCTACGATACATTTTCTTATTTCAGAATAGGAATAAGAAGCGAGGACTTGCAAGACTTCTTTGAGAGAACGATTAAGGGTAGTGGCATCGCTCTTTCTTCTCCCAGACTAATGATCCCAACTGCTGTATATGGATTATGGATCCTGTCGCATCAATTTTTGGCCAATGATTTCTTTGATTTCCAGGTAGCTTTTAGACACTTTTTCCTTCTTGTGTTCTTCGATAATGTTGCTCCGACTTCTCATTTTTCTTGACACATAAGCATATATAGTTATGAGAATAAGACTCTCCAAGGATCTTTCAATCACGTTGGAAAGGAAAATTAAACATGATGTATCCGACACTTAAACTCGAATCCCAGTAACATAGATAATGGCATGTTTGTGAAATTTGAAAACAATCTTGAAGTTTGAAACATGGCAAGAAGCACTTTGTATCGTCATTTATAGTTTTTGGTGTTTGTCATTCGCAGCTTGTGCCTGCAATGCTTGGGATGTTTGCTTACAAAGCAGCCGCTCTTGTTCAAGTATACAGAGACAATGAGGACCTGCAGTTTGTCTTTCCAGATAACGAGGAACAATCGAAGTAAACGAGTCTATATTTTTGTTTTTGATAGAACACCTCCAACACTGAGCTAATCCTTCTCTGGCCGGTGCAATATGGCCAGAAATTCAGCCACCTTTGATGATTCCAACAAGAAAGACATCCAAACAACTTAGTAGTTCAGTTTCTACTTTCGTGGGATGGTTCGAGTAGGGTTGCGGCGCGGAATTGCTACAGCGTCTTGAAGCTCCGTTAGACAGTTTTGATGCTTTGCTGTATATATTTCTTCCAAGAATGAATATGATGCTCAAAATCCATGCATTTTTTTCGTAATGATTCAATTGGCATTGAGTTGTTTATAATCCGTTGGCGTTGTGTCATTTTGCTTTTCTTTTTTTTATTAAAAAATAAATTTAAATATATGAAATAAAATCTGTCAAGTATGGAAATGGCTTAAAAATTGAATATGTACATATTTAATAGTAACTAGCATTGTTTATGATAGCCTAAGAGTTCAATAAAAGTTAGACAATTTAATGTTAAAATTGTCGTGATAAAGCAGTATTAATAGAAGAAAAATATAATGAATTTTGATTTAGTGTATGTCTCAATTTGGCTCAAATCGTTTTTTTAGTGGCTATTAGAGTAGTTTATCCTATAAATCTCTGTTAAAAAGGTTAATCATTTCACCACTGAACTCCTCCATCACACGAGGTCCAAGCTAATCTGACAAGCAGCAACTTAGAAATGGAATCGGCTCCACTCCATTAAACAATCACATGAGTTGAAAGTGTGATTTAGGCCATGCCTTTTCTGTTCAATTTCTTGATAGAGTACTCTTGTATATGATCTATGTAAGCTGACCAACTAGTTACCAAAGGCTTTATCTTGGTGATTTTTTTTTCTATTATTATTTTATACGCATAGTAAGAGTATTTAGATAGTTGGTAACTTGTGTGCAAAGGCATTAAGGTTTAATCATTGTTTTTTCATTACCATGTACATTTTATTTTAAATTGTCACCACTACGTGCAGAGGCATATATATCGGCACAGGGAAAAAATGTCCAAATTTTTGCAGATGGGTCTTTTATCACCAACACCTCGAGTGGCTCCATTTCTTTCAAAGAATGGCCCTTTTGTCATGGCATTGAAGAAGGTTTATCTTCCATTCATTTTCTTGATCTTATTATGTTTCTGTTTCTTTCTTTAAGACAATGATGTGCACTTTAAGAATAAGTTGGTTTTCCTTATAATTGAACTAGTTTTGACGAATACATGATATTTAAGATACGGGAAATGTCAAATGTCTTGGATAACTTATTTTCCAATTGGGAGTTGGAATAAAGAAATACTTCAAGTGAAAAAAAGTCTATTTCAAAATAAATTGAGTATAGTGTGGTTGGTAGAATGAAAAGTGAGTGGAAAGAAAATGAGTGGATGATCTTCTCCATCCTCATGTGTATAAACAAATGATTTCAATTAGGAAGGAAAAACGAAAATGTGAGGCAGATGCATGCTGGTTCAAGATTATGTAATTTTCTAAGTTTTATTTTCTTTCCCCTTATTTTTCAACTGTATTATCAAGCAATGAATGGAAAGAAAAAGGAGGTAGTGAAAACGTGGAAAGAAAATAAACTTTGAATGTGCTTAGTAGGAAAGAAAAATGAGAGGACCGTCATTTTCCATCCTCATGTAAAAATGAATTATTCGGAATGATGAGAGGAGAGGACATGTGAGAGAGATGCTAGTTAGTTTAAATCTATGTATTTTCCAAAAGCTTTATTTTCTTTCCTCTTATTTTTTAAGTCTGCCAAGCAATTAATGGGCAAAACTTTCGAGATAATATTCTGAAAGAAATTAATTCACGAGATAATGCACTCCCCAGATTAATTGCTCAAATAGGGTGAAATCCACAGTGTTGGCCGTAGGTCGCCATGCCTTCCGGGCGACCTACTACGTGGCCAGCTTCCCGGCGAACTCACAGAGAGAATGAACGTGTTGCATGACACATGCACGTCCCAACACATAGGTCGCCATGCCCTCCGGGCGACCTTGTAGGTCGCCATGCTCTCCGGATGCCCTCGCATAGCTTGCTTGGCTGCCCTCGGCTGCCCTAGCATAGCTCGCTCGGATGGCCTCGGTCGGATGGCCTCGGATGCTCTCGCATAGCTCGGTCGAATGGCCTCGGATGCCCAACGTGTTGGGATGTGCATGTCACATGCAATCTCTCGTAGCTCGTCGGGAAGACATGGCGACCTAGTAGGTCGCCCGGAAGGCATGGTGACCTATGGCCAACACTGTGGATTTCACCCTATTTGAGCAATTAATCTTGGGAGTACATTATCTCGTGAATTAGTGAATTAATTTATTCCAGAACATTATCTTGAAAGTTTTGCCTAAATGGAAAGAGAATTACTTTTTCTTTCATTTTTTCCATCTTTCCTACCAAAAACACCAAAGCAAAAAAAAAAAAAATTCCTAATCCAATTTTCTCTCCTTTCAAATTTTCTTTCAACTCTACCAAAGCAAAGCCTTACTCTCTCTTACTAAACTTTTAGATGCTGATTTGTAATTGATGAAAACACTAGAATGACTTGCCATGTGCTTTCTGTAACTTTCAATTCTGATTTCTATCTGTTTCACTCTCTGGCAGGAGTTAGCCGATCATACTGATGAAGTAAACATGCAACATGAGATTCTTGAAGGGATGTTCGCTTTCTATGATTCAACTAGCGCAAGGCTTAACATCTATCAGGTATTTACTATAGTTTGAATTAACTCATCACCTATATATATATATATATATTTCATGAGATTGGTTGGGACTATATGGACCTATAGACAGGATTAATTTCTGCGAATCATTTCTCATTATTTTCTATGACAAAAAACGACTGGTTCTATCGATTATCGCAGGTTGTTAGTGTAACATTTGACTTGCTGCTACTTCTCGTGTTGGAATCATATTTGTTGAATAATCGGGTAAAGAAAACGAAAGAACACAAGAATTTTAACGAGGTTCAGCAATGTGCTTACGTCTTCAGTGCCCTAGGCGGTGCTAGAATTTTTATTCAATTCAAATGTCTCATAGGTTTAGGTTACATCTCCTTTTATAATAAATAAACCCTGGTACATATTTACAAAAATAACCATGTACCATACCGCGGGGTCATAGCCCCCAACCCACATAATCGTAACCCCCACTACAAGACTTTCTTTGTTACCGATATATTTATGAGTCATACCTAATAAATCTCCACCTTGGCGAATATCATGCCCCTTAGGAAACATTCAATGTGGGTTGGTTACCTTACTTCTTTAACAACTCGAAATATTCAATAAGTCCAAGCAATGCATGAACTTGTATGTCGTAACTGGCTTGGTGAACATATCAGCGACATTCTCATCAGTATATACCTTCTGAAACAAAATCTCTCCAGATGCAACCAACTCTTTAATCTTGTAAAACCTTATATCAATATTCTTAGTTCTAGCACGATATACATGATTCTTAGCCAAGTGAATAATACTTTGATTGTCACAAAGCAACTGAACTCCACCTTGCTGAACACCCATCTCCTTCACTAAACCAGTAAGCCATAAAGCTTCTTTTGCAGCTTCAGTCGCTGCCATGTATTTAGCTTCGGTTATAGATAATGCCACAACAGATTGAACAGTAGACTTCCAACAAATAGACCATCCACCAAGAGTAAAGACATACCCTGTCGTAGATCTTCTATTATCCAAGTCACCTGCATAGTTTGAATCCACATATCCTATCATCGGATTATCCCGCTGACTACCAAAAACAATTACATGTCCCACAATACCCTTTAAGTACCGAAAGATCCACTTGACTGCTTCCCAATGTTGCTTACCATGTTTAGACATGTACTTACAAACTTGACTAACAACGTGAGCTAAATCAGGACGAGACCATTGCATACATCAAGCAGCCAACAACATTAGAATACGAAACCTTTGTCATATCTTCAGCTTCCTTATCTTTCTTAGGGCACTGTTCTGATGAGAGCTTAAAGTGATTCGCCAATGGAGTGCTCACTGGTTTTGTGCTGCTCATCGCAAACCTTTCTAGCATTTTCTCAACATAACCCCATTTAGCCACAGTTTCCTTGAGTCTCCGTCCCTACAAATTTTCATTCCAAGAATTTTCTTTGCAGCACCTAAATCATTCATATCAAATTCTTGACTCAATAAAGTTTTCAAACCGATAACATCATCCATGTTCTTCGCAGCAATTAACATGTCATCAACATACAGTAACAGAAAAATAATATAAAAGAACCATCACCAAGGCACTTAACATAGACACAACAATCAAACTCACATCGCTTGTAGCCAATCTTGATCATATAGGAGTCAAACCATTTGTACCATTATCTCAGAGACTGCTTTAACCCGTACAAAGATTTCTTCAATCTGCAAACTAAATGCTCGTTTCCAGGTAGAGTGAAACCTTCAGGCTGTCGCATGTAGATCTGCTCCTCTAAATCACCTTGCAAAAAAACATTTTTAACATTCATCTGCTCTAAATACAAATCCCAACTAGCCACCAATAAAAGTACTACTCGGATTGAAGTGTGCCTGACCACAGAAGAAAAAATTTCATCATAATCAACTCATTTCTGCTGTGAAAAACCCTTTGCTACCAAACGAGCCTTGAACTTCTCCCCGTCTTTCTCTGTTACTGCCGGTTTCTTCTTATACACCCATTTGCAACCAATAGGCTTCTTACCCTCAGGAAGCCAAACTAACTCCCATGTGCGATTGTGATTCAAAGACTTCATCTGCTCAACCATGGCAGTCATCCACTTGTCGTTTTCCTGACTAGTAACAACAACATGAAAAGTAACTAGATCATCACTGCTAACTGTAAGTGCAAAAGAGACCAAGTCTTCAAAACCCAATATGTTCGGAGGCTTTATATTCGTCCGTCTCACCCTGTCTCTAGCGAGACTATAATCCTGCAAATCATCCGTAGAGGAACCACCAGAAGTCGGTTGAAAAGTTTTTGTTTTCTCAATTGGAAATTGCTTGAAATCCACCACTGTCGTGTCTTTCTTCTGCTGCAACATGGGTTGTTCATCAAAAACAACATCTCTACTAATCATAATTTTCTTCGTAATTAGATCCCAGAACTTGAATCCTTTGACACATTTCTTGTAACCTAGAAAAATGCATTCTTTCGATTTTGCATCAAGTTTGAATCTCTCATCAGTAGGTACATGCACATAAGCATGACAACCAAAAATCTGTAAGTGATCAAAAGTAACATCATGACCAGTCCATACCTCTTCTGCAACTTTTCCAGCCAATGATGCCCTTGGCGATCTATTGATAAGATAACGCGTCATGTTAACAGCCTCAGCCCAAAAGTGTTTAGGAAGCCCCACATTCAACCGCAAATATCTGGCTCTTTCATTTAACAACCTGTTTATCTATTCCATAACACCATTCTGTTGTGGTGTCTTGCGCATTGTAAAATGCCTCTTAATCCCATACTCCTTACAGTAGTTTAGAAACTCTGAATCTGTGTACTCCGTACCATTGTCAGACTACAAACACTTGATTTTTCATCATGTTTGGTTTTCTACCTCAGCTTTCCACAGCTTGAACTTCTCAAAAACGTTGGACTTCTGTTTAAAAAAATACACTCAAACTTTTCATGAAAAATCGTCAATAAAAGTAACATAATACCTAGATCCACCCAAAGACGATGTCGTGGAAGGCCCCCATACATCAAAATGTACATAATCAAGAATCTCTTTAGTTGTGTGCTTCCCTGTCTTGAAACAAACTTTAGTCTGTTTACCAAGAACACAATACTTGCAAAAATCGAGCTTATAACTTTTAATACCAAGCAACATATTTCTTTTATGCAATTCAGCCATACCACACTCACTAAGATGAGCAAGACACATATTGTAACATCCTCCATACCGGGTTAGTGATTAAATTGTGACATTTAAAATTCAGTGATCAAATTGGATAAATTAAAAAGTTCAAAGACTTGATTGAAAAGTTTTGTGTAGGATCAATTAGGAAAGAAGGAGGAACTTAAGGGGCAAATGAGTCTTTTAACAAGGGAAACAATTAAATATTAGTTGAGGATATTTATATACCCACATGGAAAGCTATTGGGGAGAACCAAAGTTTCCATATTTCTCTTCTTCCTCATTATTCTTTTCCACCGTGAAGCCAAGCTAAATGTGAGTTTTCTTGTTGATTAAATTATTGATGAATCTAAGGTTGCTTATTGATCATTAGATGATAACTAGGCTTAAGAAAAACTTAGGTTGTCTTAAAATCAAAGGATGATGAAGTTAGGGGAGATTAAAGATTAGGAGTTATTGAATGAAATCTTGGAATAGAGTTTATAATAAGAATTGGAAGTTGTATTTTACTTGCCATCAAGCTAATTAAGAAGTATGAGGTGTTAGAATTGAATTTAGAACATGTTGAAAAGTAAGTGTGATTCTTGAATTACATATAAATGATGCGATTTGGAGGTTAAAGAAGTTATTATTGATTAGAAATGAGTTTTAATAACATGTAGATGAACTAAGAATATGTAAAGGAATGAAATAGAAAGTGTTGAGTTGGATATGAAGAATTTTCGTGCATAAAACTATGATTTTTGGGCTAGGGGTATCGGTATCCATTCAACAGGTACTGATACCCTCTCAAACGAAAATAATCATATAATGTAATGAGGAGGGTACCGATACCCCAGTTAGGTACTGATACCCTCTTGAACGAAAAAAAATAGCAAAATGCAGTAAGGGTATCGATACCCCCTAAAGAAAAAATAGAATATTGATTCATTAAATTTGTTTAAGTTATTAGAAGTAATTGCAAGGTTTAGGCATCTGATAATCATTTTGAAAATCATATTTATGTAGATTCAGAACAAGTTCCGGAACAATTGCCCAGTAAGATCGATCGAGGGAAAAGCAAAGAAATATAAGTGAGTGCATACGTATAACATAATTATTGTAATGTATCCAGTTCTAGACTTGTGATATGTCTAGATTCAATACATTGATGCATGATTTATCTCATATTATGAAATGTAATAGGAATTCATACTATGTGCATTGTGTAGTATGTTTTAAATGAATATGTATGCAAAGTTATATGAGCTATGTGATGAAGGCAAGGAATTGGTGGAGAAAAGCCTATGTTATGTAGATGAGAACTATAGGTATAGTTGGCATGCCAAGAGTAGAGGGTCTACGTGGTCCTTCGGGATATATATGTATTCTTTGTAACATGTATGAGGTCTTTTGAGACACATATTTGGTCCTTAGCATATGTATATGATTATTAAGGAATTTTCTACATGGTCCTTAGGAATATCTTATATGGCACTACAGTGCAATTCTACGCGGCACTTCGGTGCAATTTTACGTGGCACTTCGGTGCATTTATTCGAGCTGTGGTGACAGCATAGTGCACAACCTCACAATACTCACATACCTTAGGTTCTCAATATGGTATCATGAGCCAATAAACTCATTAATATGAATTCATGAATATTAATTTAATATGCTTATAGGTAAGGAACATGGTGATATAAACTGCATATGATTTCATTACATTCCATCTCATTATGGTATTTTCATTACATTTCATTGTTATTATTATATTGCCTCACTAACTCAATGACTTAGTGTGTGAGTGTTTCACACGTAGGATTCGAGAAAGTAGGCGAGGTAGATTAAGTAGTTGGACAACATTACTCTTACAACTATCAGGTCAGAAGCAACTTAATCAGTAGGTCATTTTGTTATGTAAATGAATGTTGGCATGTAATTAAACTGTTAAGTTGTGTATGCTCTGAGCATTTTGATTATGTATATTATTGTATTTTAGTTATATAAGTCCAAATGTTTTATTATTTTATTAATAATATTGTTTTAAAAAGTCAATGTGACATCTTGGACTCGTATCCGGGTCGGGTACGAGTTAAGGGTGTTACACATATGCCACAGTTTGGTAGTATCATCACAGGACTCAACAGAATAAACTCCACCTACAACGGTACTCCCTAACAATCTGTAAATATTCCCTACAGTCATCTTTCCTTTCATCACAGTCAAAACTCCTTTAATAATCCGAATGGTTTCCCTATCCTCATTAGCCTTAGGGATCAAACCATTCTTGTGCAAAGTGCCCAAAGAAATCAAATTCTTCTTTAAATCTGGGATATGTCGAACACCACACAACGTCCGAACAGAACCATCATACTCCTTAATTATGACATCACCACTACCAACAATATTGCAACATCGATCATCACCCAAATAAACAGAACCAGAATTAATCGACCTGTATATCGAAAACCATTCCCTATTTGGCGTGATGTGATAAGAACATCTATAATCAAGAATCCAAACATCCGTCAATTGAGTCGTTGAAATAGAGAGCATATCACCTTCACTGCAATCAGAATTGTCATCCTCGACCATATTCACAGACTTGGATGAGTCATCATGCTTCTTATCAGCCTGCTTTTTCAACTTCGGACAGTCTCGCTTCATATATCCCGCCTCCTTGCACTTATAACAGTGAATTGTCTTTTTATCCCTAGATTTGGATCTGAAATTCTGCTTCCCAGACTCTGCCTTCTCTGGCTTCCGTCCACGGTCTCGATTACCCTTGACATATAATCTATCATCTTGAGAGCTTTCCCTTGCATTCTGCTTCCGCTTGTTGTGAGCCAACAAGGTTGCAGTAATCTACTCAACTTTGATAGTCTCTTTCCTATATGTAAGAGTAGTCACCATGTGTTCGTAAGAGGGAGGCAACGAACACAACAGAATCATCGCTTTGTCTTCATCCTCAATTTTCACATCAAGCCGATCCAAATCAGGAACGATTTGATTGAAGGCATTCACGTGTTGCACCAAATCATGATAATCCTGCATCTTCATCTGTTGCTTTAGATACAGTTTAGTCGTTAAGGATTTAGACATAAATTGACTTTTCAACTTCTTCCAAATTTTATCTGGAGACAACAGATCATGACGTGATACATGACCTTGTCTGCCAAACATAATCGTATGGTTCCTGCCGCTCGCTGCTGCAATTCTTCCCAATCTTCCTCCTCCATCGACGCCGACTTTGTATGTTGCAAAGCCTTCAGGACCCCTTGCTGAGTCAACAGATCTTTCACCCTTGTTTGCCATAATCCGAAGTTACCCTGACCATCAAATTTCACAACTTCGAATTTGGCTCCTGACATCTGATGCCAATTGTTGAATAATCGGGTAAAGAAAACGAAAGAACACAAGAATTTTAACAAGGTTCAGCAATGTGCTTACGTCCTCGGTACCCTAGGAGGCGCTAAAATTTTATTCAATTCAAATGTCTCATAGGTTTAGGTTACATCTCCTTTTATAATAAATAAACTCTGTTACATATTTACAAAAATGACCCTGTACTATACCGTGGGGCCGCAACCCCCGCACCCCAACCCACATAATCGTAACCCTCACTACAAGACTTTCTTTATTACCGGTATATTTATGAGTCATACATAACAATATTTGATCATGCTCTTCTGTTTTCTTGTCATCACAACCCGGGTAAAGCTCTATTCACCCATTAAGCAGATCTTAAACCACTGAACATTCACCTTTTATTTGCTGTATTTTAAAAAAAAAAGATGCTAACTTAATGACAATGCTTTTCTACAGGGTTTTGATGACCTAATCAGTATATTTCGCCGGGCCCCTTCTCGAAAGGTAGAAACAGTTTGATCACTTACGTAGAACACTGTATGCGAATGCATTTGTACGCAATGTTTTCTGATGTAAACCTTATATTAAGAAAATCCCATGAGGTTCCTGAGTTGATTTCACGTGACATGCATGTTTAGTATTTTAGATATATCATATTTATGTCAGATTTAGATTTATTCGATATATTTGGAAGGTTATATTTTGATACTTTTGTGTGTGTCTTATGTTGGGTAAATATTTGAGGTATATTTTGTTGAACAATATAGGTGTTTAAATTCTAATCAACGAGAACCTATTGAGTGATTAAAAGGGGTGTTGTTCTCCTTGAAGTCATGTGTTTGAGTAACTATATTTATAGGGTGTGTGCGCTTTGTCAGTATTTAAAAAAATTTTAAAAAATATTAACTCGTAATCGTCTAAGACTATTAAAAAAATCTAATCCACAAACACTGAAAAAGTTTAGGTCAGTTGGCGGGATTGAACATGTTTAAGCATTCAATATACTCATGCTTACGGTGGAGAGTGGTTTGGGTATTAGCTTGAATTATAATTTGATTTAATATACATGGGTAAGAAAGCTCCATATCTCTTTCACACTTTTAACAGCCATTCTGATTCCCAGCTATCGAGCAGTTTTGAATTTCCCTTCTTTCAGGTACAGGAGAAGAGTTGGGATCCTTGGGACCTTAAACAAGTAATTAATATGACGAGCAACCATTCATATCTGCAATTAATTTCTAGCCCTGAAATAATTTGAAGAAACCCTTCAAATCCACCAAAAAGGGGGGAAATGAAATGACCATATATGTTGAATTTTTAATCCAACCATTTTTTGTTGTACATTTACTCATTCAACTTTTGAAGCTACTAATAAAAGGTAGGTAGGTGATCGGAAAAGGAAAAATGGTGCAAGAATTTATTTCCTAAAAAAAATCAAAATGGAACCCCAAAAATGCTTAAGAAACAGTTAAGAAGCATGAATTCATTGCATAAAACTGCAACATGCTAGTATTAAACAAGAAACAAAGATTACATCAAGCTCTCTCCACTCTTAAACACACATAATTAATAGAAATTACTTAAAATATTACAACAGACTGCACTCATTATATATTACAGCAAAGAAGTATATAAACATACTGATAATAAGTCTTTATCCCAAATACTTACGTTATTAATCACTCTATTATACAAAGATGAACCTGGAAGAAGCCACCAACATCAAGGGATACCGATGATGGGGAAGAAAGGAACATAATAGCTTGACGGAGCAAGTCCCCACTCCGGCGGTAGTGGCAGATCAACGGTCTTCGACGAAGCCAAAGGACAGGAAGTTGAGAAAGAAAGTGGTGTGGCTGTGGTGTAAGAGTTCACGCCATTGCTCACCTTCACAACCTTGGACACCATGTTCTTGTTCTTACCGTACAGCTGGTTCGGTCCACCGATGATCTTGGCGAGGCAGTCGAGAGATGGTGGTGGATTACCCTTTGAGATGTCTAATGGAAGCTCCACTCTGAAAGCGCCATTTTCTTCGACGGTTGCGGTGGCTAGTTTCTTCACTTTATCACACTTCACTGCAACTTTGATGCCTGCAAATAAAAAAAAAAACTATTCATACATGAATTAAGTATACGTAACCAAGACTCTTTTAAACAATATATTATAGAGACAGAACCTGAGAAGTCATAATAATGCTTGCAGTCAAGGCAAGAGATTTTGGCATCGAGAACATGGCAAGTCGAGGGCTGAACCCTGGCAACAGCCCATACGCAGACCAGTGCTGCAGTGATTACTACACCAAGTGCCATTCAAAAGTTTTTAAGTTTTCTTCTTTCTTAATCTTTTTTGAGGATGAAGAAGAACGATGGGAGGAAGTAATATTATAATTCGGTGCTTATAAATGCAAGAGAGAAGGGGGCATATTTAATGAAGGAAGAGTGGGTAGTTGGTGTTAATTTACTGCAGTAACGAACCAACACGAGAACCTCCTTATCTTCTTTGGGTTACAGATATCTCGCTAATCAATCTTGTTGGTATTTATTATATTGTTTATAAGAGTACAATTCTATAATATTGTATTTTTTTCATCTCTGTTTCCAGTTTCTCAAATCTAAATAACCTAATGATCTATAAGATGCTAGTGTGGTTCCACTCTCCAAAACATTTATATATACATGTTTTATATAAATATAGCCTCTACACGTGTGTCTACATAGCCACTTTATTATGTGTGAAATACTAGGTCATGATTTTGTATTTTATATAAGATATCGTTATCTAAAAGCTATTAGGAAATAGATTCGATGCAAATGGTCCTTGCTAATTGACTTCTGTCCTCTATTTCCTTGTCCTAAGTAACTGTCATCAGTTTAGAATTTTTAAAATTTTATGAGATTAAATTTTAAGGGGAAAATATATAAAAAATTTAAAATTTATAGTAATTTTAAATTTTTAGAGAGTCGACTGTTCTCTCGATCCGTTTTTGCCTACATATATTTAAATGCATATTCGCCAACTATTTAAATTGGGGGTTGAAAACTAAATTTGGGAGAATTATAATTTATTAGTTTTAAACACTATTTTGTGTTATTTTTACGAAAAATGGAAGGAATGTTGATAAAAATTCTATAATCAAATATTTTATATTGTTTTATATTTCAAATCCAATATTTTTATTAAATCAAAATAATTTTATATCAGTTGATCTAAACATTTTGTGATTGGATTTAATAATCCTAGAAATCGTCATTTATGTAGCATCAAACCAAGTTAGAACTTGAATGTATAAATATACGTATATACTATCAAACCAAGTTGAAACTTGAATGTATAAATATACGTATCTACTGACAAATTACAATAAAATTTTATGTGATATCTGGTGAATCCGTACAATGGTGGTTGGTTTTTATTTTTTTGTCCAGCAACCTAAGTGTCAATAAATGAAAATAGTGGAGGAAATGTAAAACCCTAAATTTAAATCTTAGTTTAGGAGGAGGAAGAGATTTAATGTTCATCAATATATGATCTCGTTTTCAACCTTGGGGTTTCTTTCTTTTTAAACGTCCAAATAAGCCTACTTTTAGTAGCTAGATCATGCAGATTCGTAACTATATATATATATATATATATGTTTTTTTTAAATACAATATTATTTTTATGTTTTAAAGCTATAATGAAATTAGAAAATTCAATTAAAAATTAAATAAAGATGAATTTTGATTATTAAATGGGGAGATAAAGTTTGCATTAATTGACTTTTTTTAGTGATAAAATTATGTGTTAAACACATTTGTTTTGGATTTGGATATGAAACATATGCAAATTTTATTTTGGGGAGAAAACTGGAAATATTCGTAGACACGTACCATAATATTATAACCTACGGTACAAACGATACTAAAAGTGAAAATATAAATGACTTGGAAGCTAAAAAATAACCTTTACATGGCAGAAATTTAGCTAAAATTTGGATGGAAGAAGGCAATTGGGGAACCCTTCTGACAATGTGAGGGTGGGTTAGAGTAAATATTGTAGGGTAGGTGTCCCAGAGGTTGATGAAACTCTCTGATTCCAATAAATATTAGTATTTATCCATTCTGCACTCCACCAATGACAAAATTGACCGAACAAGGTAAACAGATTTTTTGTTTAGTCCGATACAATATTATAAAAATTATTTTCAAAATTATAATATTTATTATAGTAATTTGAAATTTTCACGTAGATATTAAAATTTATAATTATGATATGATAAAATCTATTAATTTTGAATTTTGTTATGTTAACGTGAAGAATTTGACTAAAAAATATTATTTAAGGCGTGGCAAATTTTTCATGTACAATAATTTTTGTCGCATATTTCAAATTAATTTTAAAGATGACTTAATAAATTAATTTTTTACTAGCCTGGTCTATTGGACCATTTTGCCCTCCACCAATTATGTGCAACCATCTTTCTTGCCCGGTAATTTGCTGCTTCTTTGGTTTTGAAGCACTAAAATAGGATAATTTCAATATTAGTCACTAATATATTATCTCTTTCCTAATTTAGTCAGCAAACTATTTTTATTGACAGTATCATTAATATTTTTTTTCCTAATTTGACCCTTTTTCATTAAAAATTTAGTAGCTACGTTGATATAATATTTCAATTTTATTTATTAAAAAATTTCACGTTATTTTTTTCTTCTCGTCCTTTGCATATAGATCTAATGTTGAACTATTGAACTATACAAGAATTTTGTTAATACTTTTTTTTTATCAAATTTTATGTTTTAATTTAAATAATATTTATTTAAAAATTAAATATAATTAATGTCATGTTAAATTTCTCTCACCAACACTCAAACAACATAATTTTTTTTGTGTTACATGTCATCACTATAGTCTATATTGATAAAATAAAATCAAAGAATATTTTGATGGTGTTATGTGTCATCATTTTTTTTGGTGAAATAAAAATACTAATAGAAGAGCACATAGGTTGCTAGGAAAAATATATAAAAATTAAAAATAAAAATAAAAATATCGTATTGATGTAACCATCAATTTTTTATGACCAATGATCATAACCGAAAAAGTTATAATGTTAATAAAGTTTTTATAAAAAAAATTGGTGACTAAAATATATTAGAAAATAAATTTGTGAGTAAGGATGTATTTTACCCTTACAATATTGTCATATGTTAATATTTTCAATTACTTTGTCATTTTAGTTTAGATTAATTCGGCCATATATGTAATCATTTATTCCCCTTAAAGTGTACTTGTAAGGAGGTTTCAAGTTCCAACTAGATTGTAAATGAGACATATAGATAGTCAGTTATTCGAGATCGATTCGATTAAAGTTTGATGAATATTTGATTTGAGTTCTTAACGAGTCAAAACAAGCTACTTGATACTCGACTCGAAAAACTCGCAAGCAACTCGAAAATATAATATATTAAAATTTTAATTAAAAAACATAAATTATTAATAATATTAACATTTATGTGTTGATTCTTTTTAAAAAATGTATTATAAAAATTTTATGTAGTTAAGGTTCATGTTTGAGTTTAAGTTTCAATCGAGTTAAGTTTAAGATTTTTTTTTTCATTTCGAGCTTCAATTCATGATTTCGAATTTGAATCGAGTTTGACAATTTTAGGCTTGAGAGTTTTAAAACCGAATCGAACTTTTTTAGAATTCTCAAATCTAATCGAACTCAACAATACTCGAAATCGACTTGACTAGTTTACCTCGCTACATTTACTTCCAGCTACTAAGTAGTGATGTATTTCAATTAGTATTGGTTGAAATTACTGCCAATAAAGCACCGTGCAGTTTTCTTAGTATACCTTATTTCTCAAATCTTAATAATAATAAAAAAAAGTTGATGGGTTTTTAATTCAAGAAAAAATAATCTAATAGATAGTGTAGATGGAAACATTAATATATATTATTATGTAAGCCAACATTAGGCCTCTACATGATGAACTTACTATTTGAATTTGAGTCCAACTTGTAATTCCAATTATATTATTTGAATTGTTAGTTATTTAATATATATATATATATATATATATATTAATAACAAAATTTTAATTTTACACCCTTTTTAGGATCGTTGGGAGATAGAAAACCAAAGACTGAGTGAATATCTTCTCGTTTTCTACTGTTAATCTCAACTTTTAATTTTCTCCCGATTAAAATGTGTAAAATCTATGTAATTAGATCATAATCCATTTGAATGAGTTACTATCCACTTATACTGTAAAACTTTTAATTTTACACTAGATCATTGGATAATGAGAAATCAAATACTGAGATTAACTCATTATTTTTTTTAGGTTAATATTTTTATTTCTCATTATTAATTTCAATCTTAATTAGATCATAGTATATTTAAATTGTTATTTTGAATGAAAGTCGCTCCATTTATTAAGCTTTATATTCGATATAATTTTAGTTTAATAGTATTTTGGTTCATGTAAAAATAAATATTTAAATTTAAAAATATAAAAATTTGTTAAATATTTAATCAAGTAAGGGTCGAACTAAAGAATGATAAGTATGTATTCTCAAATTTTTGGTCTAATTACAATTTAAGTCATTGTAAGTTTAAAGTTAGAAGTTGTTTTTTGAGTTGAGTTTTTTTAAATTTAGGGTGAATACAAGGTAATATATGTACAAAAAGTTTCAACTATTTGACAATGAACACTCATACCCTTACATGCGTGCTTGAACTCGGGACCTCAAGGATAATAACAATTCCTTAATTACTAAAGTCGCTTGATTTATGCTGAATTAATATTTCGAGTTTAAATATCTAATAAGTCTTTAAATTTTTCTTAAATAGTTTAATATTTCGGTGCTATCTTAATTGTTAAGCCTGTTTTGATTCAAAACTGGTCATGATTAGAATAAAATAATGTTCATATAGTGATTTACCCGAAAAAGGTATATCTTAAGAAGAGGCCAACCTTAATAAGAAATTCAAGGTGGGTTCTGGTCTTTTATGCTTTGCTTGAATGGTTGCTGAAGATTAAATGCGTCGTAGGGCCAACATGCACCGGCGAGTGTGGATGAGGATAAACAAGAAGAAGAAGAATATGTGGCCGCTAACTTTGTTTGTAAAGGGAGAAAACGATGGGTTCTGCTGGAAACAAGTGGCTGAATATTTATGGAACATATAAATTTGCAAAGCTACCATTTTCTTTCATTTGCTACACTTGGAAACCATGAGATTGCCACCAGCTGTGTTCTTCTTCCTGCTCTCCCTTCCCCTTCATCTTCTTCCTCTAAATCCCATGCTTGCAGCAGGTACTGGCTATTTTACTCTTCTCCACACACACACACACACACACACACACACACACACACACACACACACACACACACACACATATATATATAATATGGGTAAATTACATCATTCCTCATTGACTTTACCCTCTCTCCTATTTTACTCATTGTATTTTTAATTTTTTAATTTACTCACTAAATTTTCAAATTATTCATCTTTTGACCCCTATGAATTATTTTAATATGATATGGTATTTTTTATTATTTAATATAAATTAATTTAAAATATAAAATAAAAAGAGAAGGTGGTCAGTCGTCACATTGGTCGCCGTCTATCACCGTAGATGGTGGTCATTTGGTCACAAATTTCATAGGTTGTTTTGCCTTGACACCCTGAGTCCGAATCTGACCTCCATTTTGTCGGATCTTGCTATGAAGTCCAAGAATTAGATATCAAAAAAATGAGAAAGTCAAAATATTCTAGTCGAGATTCTTGGGTTTTGGGACTGTTTTCGATGAAACAACCATTAGATTTAGATTCAGGGGTTGAGATGAATCGTCTTATGAAATTTGGGATCGAACGACCATCATTTACGGAAATCTACGACGGTAGCCAACCAACTTCATTTTTTATTTTAAATTATTTATATATTAAATAACAATAAAAAATATCATATTATACGAAAAATAATAATAAAATAATTTATAATGATTAAAACATGAGTAATTTGAAAGCTTAGTAAGTAAATTAGAAAAATTAAAAGTACAATAAGTATAATGGAAGAGAGAGTAAAATTTAGCGAAGAATGTTGTATTTTACCCATATATGTATATAGAGTTTTTTCCTGGTAAGGCTGCTGTTCTTTGTTACAGGCTTATTAAGATCACCGTGGCTTCATTTTTTTTTGTAGATCTCAATCACGAAAAACAAAACGATAAAGCAGCCATGGAGGCAAATTGGTTCTCGATCTCAACTGAATCAGGAGGTAAGCACGAAATTGAAGTAGTAAAAAAGCGCAGTGGTGGCGCAGCTGCCTCCGCCCGCGGTGGAGGAGGAGGGGACGCGCCTTCTGTTACCGCCAACGGAGGAGGTGATGGTGGTGGTGGGGATATTGGCAGTGGATCAGGAGGACAGATTCCAGTTTATACACCCGGTGCCGTGAACAATAACCGTGTCCACCGTCGCAATGTGTCTAACAGTGGCACCATTAGCCGTGTTGGCTCAAGTTGCTTGGCTTTAATATTCTTTACTTGTGTTCCTCTGTTCACTGTATAAAAAATTTTATGATTGCCTGTCTCTAGTATACTATTAAAATTTATTCTTAATGTTATTTCGTGTTCCTCTGCTATTTTGAATGAAAGTTATTAATTAATTAATAATGATAACTTCTCGATTACATAAATATTTGTATTTATTTAAAAAAAATTAATATCAACCACATTAACAACTTTTTTCTTAATGAATTATTTAATAAAATAGCATTTCATTAATAAAAAATGAAAAATTATAAAATATACGTGAATATACTCTAATTAGAGACATCTTAAATAATGCAAATTTTGTTAATTAGGAAACAAGAAAGAATGTCATAATACATGAATCAAGCGTTCAAACTACTTCATTGATTAAATGGATAATTGTTATTTGGAGAAGTTTTTGGTTAAAAACCGAGAATATTTAGACGTTCATCATCAAATGATTGAGAGTCTTTAGTACATATTATCTTAGATTAAGAATAAAAAAAATACATAATCCAATTTCATACATACTCTAGGATATAGTCAAAACACAATTTCTACACGAATATTTGAATCATAAAAGCATAGATTAGTGTGGAACGCTCCACGGAATCAAAAAATTCAAAAACCGTTTCCTCCAATCAAACGGGCCGAAAGCTTCCTTTCATATGAACCAATCTAAAACGGGGCCCATTTCATACAGACCCTATGCCTACACAATAACACTTAACCAGCAGGCAGCGGGCACTTCTTTCCATTCTCTTTTACAATGTCACTGCTTCAGCTGCTCGGTAAGAACTTACAGAAGTTATGTGAATTTTCATTCGATCCTAAGTTATTTGCTCATGTTTGCCATTCAATCTCACAAGTTGTTTAACACTTGGTTTTAGTCTTTATTGGTCTACTTTAGGATTCGGTGAAATGAATGTGAAACTGGAGATGAAATATGAAATGGAAAAGCGGTTTCGGTTTCCTTTTGCATTGTCATTTTGAGTTTTAGTTTAAGATGATTGTAGATGATGAATTTTTTGGGTATTTAGGGCATACTTGACTTTGAGCCCTACATGGTTTATCACTTAGGTCTTTTAAGCCTGGGGGTTTTCTTTGCTTTAGGACATGGATATTGTGGCTTTCAATTACATAATGCTGATACTTGATTTGATAACCTCATTTGAAGCTGGATAGCTGATGTTATGATTGATACCATAGTTTAATGCTTTCAAGTTTTAAGAATTGGGGTTACGTAGTTTTCCTTTGATTATTTCCATCCTTGCTTTGAAAGAAATTGTCTATGTTTGATGGTGTTAACATGGGATAGTTGGTTCTATATGTTGGGTTACCTGATTGATTGTTTCTGCCTACTATATTCAACCACAATTACTATGGCAATGGCAACCAGAATGGCCTTCAGATCCGTATCTCGTAGGTTCTCGACTGGCTCTGGAAAGATACTCAGCGAGGAGGAAAAGGCTGCGGAAAATGTTTACATCAAGGTATGCATTCTTTTTAAGTTGTTTCGTCATTTATCATCTACATGTTATTTTGGTGTGAGCTTAAGGTTCAGATGTGTTGACATTCTGATAGTCATTTCTGTTTAAAGTTTAAACTTCCCTTGTTTCTTGCATATTTTATTTTTTCTGTTTAAAGTTTGAAGTTTCTAGCATTTTGTTCACTTGGGAGTTGGGATTATCAATAAGTTAGCATTTCCCATATCATTCTCTAGGAGAAGGGTATGCTGTAAAGATAAGTGGGGTGGATGAAAGAAACTGGGTCATCCATTTTTGTCCATGCGGTGACAACGAATATCTAAGGATTTTGACAGTCACTGACACCATAACGTTTTGTCGTATGATTATGTACATTATTTTCCTATGTTGTGACTTGTTAGTGGACTAACAAAAAGATGCATTATTGCAGAAAATCGAGCAAGAGAAATTGGAGAAACTTACACGCAAGGTATGCTATCATTGATATGTAATATATCTTGACCTAAATTCTGTGCTGTGGATTAGATGCTTAGGATGGTTCTTAGTCTTACTGTTTTTCTCTCTCTCTTATCTTTCAATGCTTCTTCGATCAACTTTTTATACCCACAAAATATTTTACAGCAACTGATATACATGCACAAACACTTACCACTATGCATTGATCACGAATTGCCTTATGCATCATTTTATTTCAACAGCGGACTATGTCTGTTTAATTAAAATGCAAATAAAATGCTTGTGGCTTTTTTTCTTATGTCGAAAAAGTATGTCAGTTGCCATTGTGATTAAGGTTGGACTTCTTTGTGTGCCTTTTTGTGCTAGGTTATACCGAGTAATAAGGTCATTTAATAATTTAATGCTTGAAGTGTTTGGTAGTTATCCTTTTCCCTTTTCAATCGTGATATCAAACAAAATTCAAGTTATTTTTTGTAACAAATAGTGATCAAGTATTCAACTAATTGTTGATATATTCAGGGACCCAAACCAGAGGAGAAGGCCGAAGCAGGTTCAGGGGGTAGTGTGGCTGAACCTAACCTTAGTACCTCGACAACAGGAGCATCTACTGAGAAAGTATCAACTGATAAGTATCGAAACTATGGGGTTCTCGCCGGTGTTGTGACCTTTGCTGGTGCTCTGGGATGGTATCTCATGTCTAAGGAGAAGAAACAAGAAGTCCGTGACTGAGGTTTAATGCATCAGATTTTGAAAGTGGAACATGCCATCAACAGTTTACCCCATACCCTGTCGCACGGAGTAGGTGATAAATAAACCAAACTTTTATAAGCATTTTATGTTGTTTTCTGATTTGATAAGAACTGTGTTGTAACTACTACTTACGTACTACAATTCCAGGCTGTGGGTTTTCTAAATGGCTTTTTCATGAATTTGTGGAATTGATTTATGTTCTTTCTGCATCAATTTTTACATTTAACTAGTAGCTGTCTTTGATGGTCGGTGTGCGGGTTGTTGATGACAGGTGGGTGACTGTTCAACTGTGATGGCGGTGAGAGGCTATGGTGGTGGAAGTTTGGAGTTAGAGATTTAAGGAGTTTGGATTCTTTTGGTTTTACTGAAAAATATTAATATTTTAAAGTTTTTTTTAATAAAATTTAAAAAGAAAATACGTGACGTGTTAGATAATGATTTTTTTAACGAGAGTGTAACGAAGAAAATATTAACATCTATTTTGAGTGAAAAGTTTTTAGATACGAAAATATCAACACTTATTTTGAGTAAAAAAATTTTAGACATCTAAAGTTATATTTGAGTACAAATTTTACATTAAACCTTAATAATTCATCTTTAAAACAAAAGTAGAATAAAACTATAAACGTATATTTTAAAAATTAAATAATTAAATGGAAATATAGTTGGACAGTTATTTTTAAATTAATAATTATTTATATGCCTAATACTTCATAGCACAGAATTCTTAGTGGAAATGAAAAAGAAATAAAAAGGATCCGCTACGTCATTAACAAAATCCAACGTGGTATATTTTAAGTTTCTTATTGGCTATCTACATATACGCACAAGAGCAGTACTCATTCACCAGCAATAAATGAGAACGATCACATTAATTTCCGACAAATACCCATTAATTTCCGACAAATACTCAAAAAAGAGAGAGAAAAACTATGGCGGTTCGTGCGACGGTGTCAAGATTCCCGGCTGAATCCGACTCCCAAGAAGCTTCCGGCTTTCCATGGGGATTAACAGTTACACCGTTTGCCTCCAAAGATGAGAACGATCAAGCTCCGGCCTATGGATCGGACGGCCATCTTTTACCTCGATGCGAGAATTGCTACGCTTACTTCAACACCTATTGTGAACTCGACCAATGGGCCTGGAATTGTTCTCTTTGCGGCACACTCAACGGCCTCTCTGCCGAATCCATTGCCAGATACTCTCGTCCTCAGTCGTGTGCCGAAATGATGTCGTCCTTTATCGATCTTGAGTTGCCTTGTAAGTGTAATTTGGTTACTGATAGAGAAAAACGAGGGATACTGACAATTTTCTTTTTCGTGTTTTTATTTAGTGGAAGGATCGCAGGACGAAATGTTGCACGCTCGTCCGGTGTATGTTGCCGCTGTTGATTTGTCGTGTGAGATCCTCGTTTACTTTGTTAGATTTTGATTTTGGCGTTACTAATTTGAATTGTTTTTTAATTTTTGTACATGGCAATTAAATTTATTCAAATTTCAGTTAGATTTATAATTGATATTGATTCGTAGGGTAAAAATGGGTCTTTTAGTTGAGAATCTAGTTTCTTTTTCGTCATAGAAATTTTGGATGAACCGAGTTTCATAATATTGACAACTATATTCTTAAGACCAATTTAGGATTTGAAAGTACGAGAGTTCATATTCTAATTCTTGACCTTCACACTTCACATGTGGATTCCATTCATGTACGGTAGTACATAGGAATATGAGAATACTGAGTAGTTATTGAAATTTTACAGTTGAGTATATATGTTTTTATTTTGCATTTGATGTGTGAAAAATACGAGTGTTTATGTTGCTCCAAGAAGGATGTTCAGAAGAAAAGAAAAGAAAAAGGTATTGAGTTGATAACATACCCGGTCTCTAGCTCAGGTCTTCCCTTAATGTTTTGGCGGATGTTCATATTTATGTTCACATTTCTATATTTTAACCTATATATGCTTATAATACATTTTTTTGTATTTATAGCTTCAGAAGAATTTTTGGAGCTTACTAAAAGTGCATTGCAACATGGTTTTCAAAACCGGACCGGTTAGCGAACAGGCCATGCTATCGGTTCACTGGTTCAACCGGTCGAACCGGTCCGACCGGTCGGAAGAACCGGACGACGTCATAATTATTTAAAAAATTAAATAAAAATACCAAAAATATTTAATAAAAAATAATTTTTTATATCACAAGTCATATTCAAAGTAAGTCATAACATATATAAGTTAAAAACCATAAAATCAAGTGAAACAAAATGATTCAAATTAACTACAACATAATAATTAAGGTAAAACATATTAAATAATAAATATAATTATATAACTATAATTAAAAAATAAATTTGGGGCTAAAAAATCATAACAAAATAATATTGTTTGGTTTTTTTTTTAAAACAATCCTACATGGCTAAGAAATATAGAAGAGCATCCCAACTAACTTATATAAATAATAGAGGTGACATTCAAAATCATGGAGCCTTTTGGTGAGCATTGAGTGAATTATTCTTTCACTTCAATCAAGCTCGAATTTTAGGCTTCAATCGAGCTTTTAATTTTTTTTTGAGTTCAAGCCTTTTCGAGTTCAAATTTCAATATTATATTTCGAGTTCGAGTTGAACTTGATAATTTTTAGCTCGTGAGTTTGAGTCGAGTTGAGCTTACTTTTAAAGTTCGACTTCGACTTGGCTCGTTTAACAAACGGCGTCGTTTGGTTTATATTTAAAAAAAAAAAAAACAAAATTGGCGGTTTTTCTGGTTTTTTCAGGTTTTCAGCCGGTCCGGTTTGAACGGTTCAGCGGTTCCGGCCGGTTCACTAATAGCGGTTCAACTGGTGTAGATTGAACCGGACTAGGCAGCGGTTCCCGGTTGAACCGGCCGGTCCGGTCCGGTTTTCAAAACAATGCATTGCAAGCAACATTGGAAGGTTCTTTTTTAGTGGATAAAATGATATTCTTTTCTTCAGCTTTCCCCCTTCTTTCCCCTTCATTTTCCTTCATTTTGACATTTATATTTTCCTTCATTCGCACCTCATTTTTTATGCCTAGCTACTTTCAGTATGTATTCATACATTCTTGTTTCCTTCATTTTTATCCCGGCTGCTGCTCTCATGGTTCATGCAACATGTTTTGATTTTCTGAATGGGATATTTAGGGAATGGAATGGTTATTTTGTGACAGTAGAATTAGGTAGGAAAGTGAGTAGATACATCTGTTTGTATCTGAGATAACCTTTGTTGTTTGTGTCTTTCGCCTATGATATTGTAGCGTATCCACATTTATATAAATCAAATAATGTAATTTTGTAATTATTGCATACTGATATTCTAAAATCAATAACCTATTCAGGTTGAAACTTGTAAGGATCATATCACATCTGCACTTGAAACTCAGACCAACTACTTCATGGGAAAGAACCCAGAGACAGGTCAAGTGTTGGATGGTGTTTTCACGGGTGGCCGTGGTTTTGGGGTGGCAATGGAAGCATTATGCAATTACCTTGGATCAGAATATGGAAACACTTTTGCATTAGGTGTGAGAATGATATTGAAACAATTATTTGCTATATTTTCTCTTAGGCTAGATACACATCACTTCTAATTTATTCCCTTTTTTAAATAACAGTGTATGTGTTATTCGAACACTTCATATCTACTTGAGTTAGTGATATGGATACTCCATTTCAATTTTTTATTGATGTTGCTTTGCAGGTACCGAATGCTAAGTCGACCATATGCTTTAATTGTGTACTAAGATTGAGGACATCTACTGAATTCAAACCTGGCCATTCTGTAAGTTTTCCCTTCTTTCAAATTTTCTTACTAGGAAATATTACCCAACAGTTCTCGCTTTCTCACTTCTTTAATCCCTCCTTTTGCAGTATGGTCATTCTTCCCAGATCCTCAATACGAAAATGTTCAGCACATTATTTGTTGTGATTCTTTTGCAACATATACTTATGATTTTGATTTTGCCAATAATGTGGGATTTCCCAGTATAAATTACTCATTCTAGGTTCTTTCTTTGAGTGAAACAAAACAATATAAAATTGCTGTTGATTGTTGAAATTTGACGAACAGCATTCTGTAATATGCATATCTTGCAGTAAATTTCATGGACTTAATCTGGCATAGAATCTTATACCTTAGTATTCCACTTTTTTTGGGTTTTCAAGATTCAATAAAAGATATTCATTATGCTTGGTTAGGACTTAGGAATCTTTCTTAAGTCTCTCTTCTTCTTATCATGTGAAAAATCTGAAGCTGAGCTTTGTAATATGTAAATAAGATTATATTTTGTTCAGTATATTAATTCTTGCCTGGACCAGATGAGCTTACCTAATTGCTTGGGGAATACTGTCTTTGAGTAGTATCTGGTTGTGCTGCCCTTTTTTGTTGATAACCTTTTGTGGAGCAGCACCATTGTAATATTAGATCTTTTTAATCTCTTTTTTTTTTCCCTTTGCAGACATTCTTCTGAATTACTATGGTGCAAATTGCATTCCAGTATAGTGTTGTCGTGCCCCCTGAGGAACTCTCTAGTTCAGGAGTAGTTTCTTCTAGTAGGTATATTGGACATTCTATCTTACATTGTTCTTGCCAGACTACAGTCGAATTGTGAACTGTTTCATTCTTGACAACATGACTATAAGAGTTCCAAATTATTAAGCTAACCAATTAACAATTTTCTTTCTGGAGCTATTTTGGCTGAGCATCTCATCATTTATGCAGAGGCAAGCATTCACTTAAGAGACGACTTAGAATACGAACTCTGCAGTATGGAACAGCTAAAAATCTTGATGAACTTTATGATAGTGTTGATCCTGAAGCAGTGCTATCTTTACTTGTTCACAAGGTTTACCTTCTCTCTTTCCATGTCTTCTAGATGTGTGGTTATGTATTTATTTTCTGAGTATCATCCCTAAATTTTTTATATAATCTAATTCTAAAGGTTATATTAGCCTCTTTGAGCAAGGAGTTAGAGAGGGCAGGATATTGGTTCACGATTGGCTAGTAATCCTCACTGCAACTTTTACCTCGCTTGGTTTTTGCCTTGCTTCAAAATCCTCTTCTGCGTTTTCCATGAAGAGGTGTTCACCCTGACTACCGGATTTATACAATGTCTTTTCAGGTACATGGTGCTTAATGTTTGGATCTGGGTTATATTATGTCACAATCTCTTAAATAATAACAGATTCAAGATGAACCATAGGAATTGCTTAATTTATAAAGCAAAATGATATATTTTGTTAATTTTGTTAATTAACTGGGCGATCTTGTGCTATGAAAGCTTTGAATAGCTCAGAAAAATATGAACTGGGCGGTAATTACTGAATCCTTATCTTTCTAGCATTTTTGTTTACTAATATATAATTCTGAATGTCATATTGTGTTTTTCAGGCGAAGTTGTGGAATGTTCTCTTGCAAAGCCTCTAACAGATCGAAAGAGTCCTCACCATGGGTCAAGTTCTCAGACATCAGGTCTTCTTCCTAATTATCCACTCCACATTGGCTATGGACTCGTTGGGGGTGCATATGGTGCTCTAGCTCCAGGATATGGTGTTCCAGGCCTTGCACAGGTGAGATCTCTGCATGTTCGATGCATGTTTGACTGCTTCTATAACTTCATTATTTTTTCAATACCTGCAGGTAATTACTAGTCTTCTTTTGAACCTATGCATTGACTTGTGCATGTCATTGCTATCCTTGCTAAATATTAAATCTTGCCATGTGGCTTATGATATCATTGTGTGTTTTTTTCGGTAGACTTCTATCTAAAGTTCTAAACCCAATCGTTATAGAGTTTGGCTTTAGAAGAATCATCCATAAGGTTTCAGTGAAGTAGGTTCTATAGAATATATTGGACGTGGACCTGTATTTGGATTTTAGCTTTATAACTAAAAGTTCCATGTTTTTTGTAAGTATTGGTTGTTTTAATTTGGCTTTGCTTTTGGATACGAGGTTTTTCTTTTTCCTCCAAAGAGAAAGTACATTTAAAATTATAGTTTTCTTGGTTCTCCTGGCTTGGAAAATATTCAGAGAACTGTATCTTGTTTCCAATAGGACGGTGAGGAGTGCTTGAAGAGTCAGAAAATAGTTAGCTTGACCTTTGACCTCCAATTCCCACATGCTGAATGTCTGATTTTGATCAGTGGGTATAGTTTAAGATGTAATGAACTGTGTTTTGAGCCTTGTGGTGCCAGTCAAGATGTAATAGAATGATCTTAGTCTCTTCATTATCCTTATGTTACTCGTTTTATGAGTTATCAAGATTAATCCGAAATAAAATTTATGTCATCTACAGCCATTAATCTAGGGAGGGCACCAACTACAACTGGCATGTCAATGCTCTACCTGATGACCGAATCGGATACGTCCTGCCAGTTCGGTGTCAGTATTTTCTATTCAATATTTTGAACTTTTAAAATCTCTGTCCATAAAAATATTGTCATATAAAATGACATTGAATTAGGTGGCGTTTTCTTTAAGGTTCTGGTTAGCTGATGCAATTAAAATTAAACACTCTCTGTCTCATCTAAATGTCAAAATATGATTCAACAAAATCAGTATACAGAAAAAGAAAAGCTTTATTTTATTTTTCCTGCCTCTTTATCCTCTTTGTTTTCCTGTAAATTTCATGATGGATGATGTTATAGTTCTTCAGCGACATTCTGTTATTTGATCTTATAGTAGTATATGCCTAATGAAAATACATTTATCATCCATTAACGCAGGCAACAACCAGAAGCACAACCTCCGAGCCCGCCTCTACATCAGAGAAATAATAAAGATGGTAGCAGTTCAAACAGGGGAAAGCACAGAAGCCATATCCATCATGGTGGTATCGCCCCTATTGATTCCTTCCCCTCCAGTGATCAGCGACTGTTACAAACCAAACTGGGAATAAAATGAGTGACCATGAAACATATCTACTTTATTGATGATGCTGTCGTGTTCATATCCTTATTAATGATTAAAGCACGAACATTTTAGCCTTGATTATTCTGTTTTTGCTTCCTTTTCCTTGCATCTGTTGGCTGAGAAAAAAACAATATTTCAAGTCCAACTATATATCCGTTAAAGCCAGCTAAGGTTCATAAATTTCAAAAAGAAAAAAAGAAGGGGAAAGTTGATCCATCTCAAAAGGAAATGAAAATATAAAGAAACTAGATGAGAGGAACACTTAATGGGCATTGCAATTCCCAGTTTAACAACAGTATTATTATTGCTTAATTACTCACTTTCATGATTATCTTCATCTTCTTCTTCCTCTTCCTCTTCTTCTTGCTCCTCTTCTTTATCATTATCCTGTTTCTTTTGCTTGGTTTTGGTTCCGTTTTCGGCAGATGAATCCTCTATTTTCTCTTCTTTTTCGCCTCATTTTCCTTGACTGATCCACCTTTTTCCCAGCATTCTTCTTTTTGAACTCTGCAACAAATCAATAACCAATCAATCGTTTTCCATTGTTCATTTATCCTAAACCAAAAAGAAAAAAAGGAGTGGGTATTCAGACATTTCCACGGTAGCTAACCGGCAAGGGAAGCCCCAAGGGGTTTAACGAATTCCGAGAATTCAATTTCTTCGAGTGCTTTAAACACATCCTCCGCATTCATTGTTTGCCTCTTCGATTCCTTGCATATATTGTTTGCCCTGATTCACCACCAACTTTTAATAGAAAACCCTAAACAAATCAGCAAAGCAAGCATTTGGGGATTTTGTTTTGTCGGACTTACGTGGCGGAAAGGTAATGAATGAAGATGCGAGCGCTTTCAGAGAAAGCAAGGAGGGCATCTTTGTGAACGTTAAAATCGTAATCCGGTGAGCACTCCGAGAGCTTCTCCTTCACCACCCGTCGCACGATCGCCTTCGGCAGCTCTTCCGCCTCCGATACCACTTTCTCCATTTCCCCCACAAAAATTGCTTTTAGGGGGGCAAACAAAGTCAGTGACAAAAACAGAGAGAGAGGGTTTTGTTTCCCGCCATTGGTTTCAAGGCTTTTAGTTTGTTAATGGATCCAGCCCACTTGACTCTGGTCCCGAGGGTAGCCCTTTTAGTTTCTTGTTTATTTCTTCACTTTTATCCCTATCAAGTTATTTACTTAAAAAACCTTATCAAATTTTGTTTTATTTATGACGTGGATGCGAAATATTTTATTTAAAAGATGTATTTATTAATTTATTATTATTTTTTGTTACTATTATTCTACTCATATTTTTATTAATTTCTTTTTTATATTCATTTCAAAATATCTTTTTATTTTTAATCAGTTAATATTAAATTTCAGAGATAAGATAATTGATTTGACTCTGCTTATTGGCTCAAGTATTTGGGACTCCACCCATACCCTTCCTTCATGCCTCGACAAAATTAATTAATATAGTACTTTTAATAATAATAACAATAAATTATTAAATATAACAATCGACTTATTTGTTCACAAATAAATTACGAATATTTGTTGTCGCCTAAATTTAATTATTCTATGGTAAGATTTTGTATTGATTGCTGATTTAATTTATTTATATAATACAAAATAAATTAAAAAATATATAATAATAAAATAACAATATCAAATTAAGGGGAAACAATAAAGGTCTTAATATGCTATAGTAACACTGTAACAATACAGAAACAACCTATTTCAGTACACAGGACTATTTCCAACCACTATATAGAGCACAACATGAAAACCAGCTGAAGCCTATTTTAAAATCTTGGCCATTTTTATTAAGTGTTTTTTGGTTAAAGAATCTATATATAATCTAAATCCAACCATCAACTGTTAGTGATTTTAAGTTTTTACTTTCTTGGCTACTACAATGTCACCTTTAAACTAGGGCCTCCTTCTCCCGGAAACAGTTCCTCAGTGATTTTCTCATACCTACCGACAAAAGTGAACAAACCGATCAACCCATCAGTCAATCATGTTACAACGGAAATCAATAAATGATATAAAAAACATCAAATCCATGTCTGTTGGCTCAAATAACTCAGTTGTTGTTTTCAACCTGTTTTTCCACTAGGACGCAGACTGATGTTGTTTCAGTATCCTAAGATTTACCTGTTTTATGTTCACACTTTCATGAAAATAAGATGCACTATCAATGTTGTTTCAATAGCTTTTTTTTTTATGTTTTTTTATTAATATGGGACAAGTGCAATCAATATCTGTTTAAAAATAACTCTTAACATTTTGATATTGAATGTTCAAACCCTTAGCATCTATGATACTCAAACTCGAGTCCTAATCGTATAACAATCTCTTTACCACAAAAGTCACTTGGGCCGTGCATGTTGACATGAATACTTTAAGAAAATGAAGAATAGGAGCAAGAGATGCATTAATATTTCGCGTAGGATAGACAATGGTCTTTAAACTTTTACAGGTAAGAGATTGTCTAACCGAACCACCAAGGATCAAAAGTTGATGCTGTTGCCAGGTTGGTCGGTAGGTTGAATGGTCAAATAAGTTGGTCTCTCTGTCAATCTCATCGATTGGCTTTGCCGATGCAAGGTTTTCATAATTGAAAAGGCATGGTCCATGAGGTTGAAACCCACCACTGCTAAAACAAATTTATCTTCAAACATCTAGTTGATATTACTTAATCTTACCCAACAAGTCAGTACAGTACACTAAAAGTACATTAATTATGTGATCTGTTATGTCAGCAGATTTTTAAGCAGCTTATGTGAACCCTAATCTGAACGAAAAGACCCAAAATTTGGTTCATGTATTAGCCTAAGTCTGTTGATTGAAAATGCCATGGATTTAGACACTGGGTACCGATGATACAAACAAAAGCTGATGCCATGAATTCTCTTTTGTGGAAGAAAGTAAGGAGAAACAGACACTGAACATATCATCTTTAGAGATAGAGCTCACCGCCTCAAGATTAAGTTTCTGGACGTATTTTAGGCTAGAAAATGGTGGAAAATAAAATAAAATAAACAAAAAGGGATGGTGTGAGTAGTGGCTGGCTTCCATTAGAGAGATCCTAGTGGCTCTCTGTCTTCTTCTTTCTATTCTTGATAGAAGCCAATTTGGACTTTTGTACATCCGAAGACAGAGAATTTCGACTCAATGATTTCGCTTGCATTATACAAACTTTGCAAGCTGAGATAAGAAAGATGGAGACTCATTACCATATTTAATATGGACAATATGTGTGTGTGTGTTTTGGCAATCGGAGGTTTCACACTGTACAAGAGTCCAGATAGTGGGTTCATATGTGGAGTTGACACCACCCATTATCATGTGGTTGAAACCTTACAAGATAATGGTTCCAAATTCTTCTTATCTTTTGACACAAGAAACCCTGAAATCCAAAAACTTCGACTTCCCGAAACCCTGAGTGTTTGGTGGACTCAAAGGATTCGAAAAGAGGGTCAACAACATGAAAAATGTACACTCTGCCAGCACATTTTACGCTTGCCCCCCCCCCCCCAAGTAGGCTGTTGGAGGTCAAGTGCATGAAATAAACATGAGTTGGCAGAGATCAACTAGTATGAGGCTTAGGTGTGCATTACTATCCATCCAAGTTAACATGCAAATGGACAGTGTAATCATGACCTCACAGGCATGGTGTAACACCCCAACCCGTATCCAACCCGAATACGAGTCAGAGATATTACATTGACTTTAAAACACAACTCATTACAAATAATAGTAAAATACTTGAACTTATATTACAAAAAATACAACAATATACATATGGTAATATAAGTTTACCAAAATATTCAGAGCATAAACAACTTAACTCTTTAATTACATGCCAACATCAATTTTCATAACAAAATGACCTACTGATTAAGTTGCTTCTGATCTGATAGTTGCAAGAGTAATGTTGTCCATCTGCTTAACCTCGATCGTCTACTTTATCGGATCCTACGTGTGAAACACTCACACGCTAAGTCATCGACTTAGTGAGGTATAATAATAATATCAATATATAAGTAATTGCCAAAATGAGATGAGTTGCAATAATAAGATGTATGTAAACAATGCAATAACCAAAACCATGTTTCTTACACATATACTTATCAAATTCACATTCATAAGTTCGCCTTAGTAAGTTCATTAGCCCATGGTACCATACAGAGAACCTACGGTATGTGAGTATTGTGAGGTTGTGCATGTTGTCACCACAACTCATATAATTGCACCTAAGTGCCACGTAGAATTGCACCGGAGTGCCGCGTAGAATTGCACCGTAGTGCCATATAATAATGTCCATAAGGACCACATATCATTCCTTAAGAATCATATACATATACCAAGAATCAAGTATGTGTCTCACCAGACCTCACACATGTTCCAAAGAATACATATATGTCTCGAATGACCACATATCATTCCTTAAGAATCATATACATATACCAAGGATCAAGTATGTGTCTCACCAGATCTCACACATGTTCCAAAGAATACATATATGTCCCGAAGGACCACATAGACCCTCTACCTTTGGCATGCCAACTATACCTATAGTTCTCATTTACATAACATGTGCTTTCACAATTTATCTAATTTATATCACGTAGACATATTATTTCCATACCTTTATCATATAACTCATTTAACTTTTTCTTTCATATTCATGTCCCATATCATCATATGAACTACGATCATGTATTAAAATATTGAATCTAGACTTATCACAAGTCTAGAACTGAATAAAATACATATTCATGCTATGCATATGCACTCACCTAGATTTCTTTATCTTTCCCTCGATTGATCCTACTTGTCGATGGTTCCGGAACTCGATTAGGCTCAATATCTACATAAGCAAAATTTTCAAGATGATTATCAGATGCCTAAGTCTTGAAATTAATCTCTAATAGCCTACCAATTTAAGGGATTGATAGTTTAGTCTCTCTTCTTTCTTTTCTTTTTTTTATTATGGGGGAATCGGTTCCCCCCTGGGGGTATCGATTCTCCTCTAGCATTCTGGAAATTCATATTCGTTTGAGGGGGGATCGATTCCCCTTGAATGGGTACCGATTCCCCTAGCCCATAAATCCCATTTTGAGCTTGAAAATCACCTTATTTCAGCTCAAACCTTCCTATTTCACTCCCTTTAATATTCCTAACTTTAATACACATACTTAAACTTATTTCTACTCCATAATCACTTCTTTAACTCCAAATCTAGTCATTCCTATGTAATTGCAAAATTTATACTAGTTTTGCAACATGTTCAAATTCCTATTCTAACACTTCATATCCCTTAATTAACTTGATGACAAGTCAAATCTCACTTCCAATTCTTATTATGAACTCTAATCTAAGATTTCACTTTTCTACTTCCTTTCTTTAATTCTTCATACTTCTCATCTTGAGGTTTTAAAACAATTTAAACTTCCTTTAAGCTTAACTATTGCCTAATGGTCATGAATCAACCATAAATTCATCAAGAAATTCACTAACAAGAGAATCTTACCTTAGCTTGGGTCTCACGTATGAAGAAGAAGAAAGAAGAAGAGGACTCTGGAAGCTTGTTTTTAATTTCCTATACTTCCACGTGGTTAATATAATACTAACCCCAAATAATTATATTGCTATAAAAAAGACCATTTTGTCCTTCTAATCTTCCTTCTTTATAATTCAATCCTACACAAAATAACTCAAATAAGTCATTGAACTTTTCCATCATTTTACTTTAAATCACCAAATGCTGAAACTTTACAAATTAATCACTAACCCGGCATGGAGGATGTTACAAATCTCCATCCCTTAAGAAAATTCGTCCTCGAATTTTCAATAAGAAAGAGATGGGGATACTGATTCCTCGTATCCTCATCACGCTCCCATGTTGCTTCCTCTACTTTGTGATTCTTCCATAAAACTTTAACCAATGGGATAGTCTTGTTCCTCAATTGCTTAACATCATGAGCTAAAATTTGAATCGGTTCTTCCTCATAAGTCAAATCCGGTTGTACCTCGATCTCTTCTGGGGTTACGATATGGGAGGGATCCGATCGATATATCCGAAGCATTGAGACATGGAATACATTGTGAATCTTTTCCATTTCTGGTGGTAAAGTCAATTGGTATGCTACGGGTCCCACTATTTTTACAATCTCATATGGTCCAATAAACCGAGGACTTAACTTTCCTTTCCGACCAAACCTCAACACATTCTTCCATGGAGATACCTTTAAAAACACTTTATCCCCACTTCAAATTCAATCTCCTTTCTTTTAAGATCAGAATAGGACTTTTGCCGATCAGAGGCCACTTTGAGGTTATGTTGAATTTCTCGAACTTTCTGTTCTACATCTTGAATTAAATCCGGACCAAGAACACTTCGATCTTTGAGTTCATGCCAATTTAATGGAGTATGAAATTTTCTTCCATATAATGCTTCATATGGGGCCATCTTTATACTAGACTGATAACTATTGTGTAAGCGAACTCTGCCAGCGGTAAATACTTTTCCCATGATCCTTTGAATTCCATTACGCATGCTCTCAACATATCTTCCAATATCTGAATAGTTTTCTCTGATTTCCCATCAGTCTGAGGATGAAAAGCCGTACTAAAGTTTAAACGAGTCCCCAACGCTCCATGCAAAGATTTCCAGAATCTAGAAGTGAATCGAGGGTCTCGATCAGAGACTATGGAAACAGGCACTCCATGCAATCTAATAACTTCTCTAATATACAGCTCTGCATACTTTTCCATAGAGAAATCCGTTCTAACCGGAAGGAAATGCGCTGACTTAGTTAATCGATAAACAATTACCCAGATTAATTCTCTTTTGTTCGGAGTCAAGGGTAACCCCGAAACAAAATCCATCGTAACATTTTCCCATTTCCATTGAGGAATGAAAAGCGGTTGCAATAATCCTGACGGAACTTGATGCTCAGCTTTGACTT